TTTTAGCAGCTGAAGAGGTCCAGATCAATAACCATCAGTGTTTGGTTTTGGGCCGCTGCGTCGGTCAAAGGGGAGATTCACTTCTCCCTCATCCTCTGCTGCCCCTCTCCCTGCTTCTGTTGCACCTTTTAGAAGGTGTCATTTTGTTTCGAGATTTGTGTGTGTGTGTGTGTGTGTGTGTGTGTGTGTGTGTGTGTGTGTGTGTGTGTGTGTGTGTGTGTGTGTGTGTGTGTGGTGCATGTCACAGATGTAAAAGCCGAACAAGGTTGTTTCTTTACAGATGTCTGCTGCTGTCTGCACAGAGATGCATTGATTTTTTACGTCCAGCTATGTCAGAACCACTATTGAATATTTATGTGTTGTCTATAGATTGCACAGAACAGAAAGGTTTCACAGCGCCGTTACACAATCACTGTAACAGGGTTATCAAATACGATGAACCGAAAAACTGTATTGAAACTATAGGTGAGTAAACTCTAGCTTCATTTCAAAGAGGTAGATGACTGAGGTTACTTGGGTTTACCTCCACTACACCCCTGATATGTAGCTCTTTCACAGTCTAACCCATTTACTGGGATAGTAAGTGGCATCAAAACAGGAAGGAGGTGGTAAAGTTGTACAGCCCACCTCTTACTTGATTTGATTGATTTAATTTGCAAGCGGCACAACGCTGTACCTTTATGCTGAAAAGCTGAAAATATCTTAACTTTTATGTGTCTAAAAACAGCTAAAAAGAGTGAATGCTAGGTGTGCCTTACTATAGGAAAACCAAGGTTTTGATGCGTTTCTAACAATGCATCTCTGCGTGGCTGCTTAGAAAAGCATAAAGAGGTTCTGGTCGATTTCTTCTTCAAAATGAGGTACTCGATCCAAATATTGATTCAAACTGTGAAGGTGATATGTTAAATTAATGCAACCTGATCAGCAAGATTGTTCCATTAAACTCAATACTTTAATCACAAGAAAACTCCAAAGCAGTCTCTTTGTAACAACTAAAAAACAATTCTGATGTCTTTTTCGACATCAACCTGTCTGTCCTGAAAAAGGGCCCAATTAACACTGATGACCTGTAATGATTCTTCATCATGAACCCTGCATCATAAAAGAGGAATAAAACTGGGCTTAAATGTGTCAATTCTTGGCCTACCAGTAAATAACTGTCACTGAACCCTGTCACTCACATAGGTAGAAAATAATAGTTTTGTCCCCCACCGTTAGAATCACTAGCATATGCAAACCAAGTAATAGCACTGTAGGGCCTTGGTTTTGATTTGACATGTTTAAGTGTTGGAACATTCTTGTACTATTTGGACAATATTCAGTGTGCTTTTTGTTTAATTTGCTTTTGTAAGACAAGGAAGTTACTCAGTTGCAATGCCAGTACCATAAGAATGTAATCCTCCTCTGTTTTGATGTGTCAGCCATTAAAAGCACTAGATATTTTGCTTCTAGTGCTCAGCTCCTCTACACTGTGATTCTGTGGAAGACAGCCTGTTTGTATAACTATTGACTCTGCTTAGAAAGCCTTTCAAAGATCTTTGGAGACTCCACATTGAAATATTTGTATGTTTTCCATTGAGATGGTCCACTCGGGTATAGATATTGTTTGTGTTTCATTATTTCATGTTCTCTGTGCAGTTTTTTACCCCCTTCTGTTGTCTGGACAATGCGGTGTGTCTGCAGCTCAGATTCATCTCATGCTGTTGCTCCTTGTGTTCTAAGCCTTTTCTGCTCCAGTGCCAATAGATGTGCATGTGTTAAAGATGGCTTCTGTTTTGCGGTGAGCAAGCCTCATCCCGAGGTGCTCTCCTGGGGGGCAAAGGTTCACCCCCTGCCTCCCCTCTCTCTCTTTGCTGGGGTCATTTGGAGAGGTAATCCACACATGGCTGGATACTCTCACTGCAGCTCCGAGCAGAAAGGAGGAGCTCCAGCGTGGTAAAGGTAGATAGGATTAGGCTCATGGTGAATCGTAATGGGCTCATTTCACAAACCTCTTTTTTTCCCCAATTAAGCTGAACCCGAGTTGGACTTGTACACACTCTTAAATTAGGACTTGTACCCGGCAAACCCAGCCCTTAGCTGGCGACATGCACGCTTGTGTGAGCTGCTTTAATCCAGCATTTTTTATTTTATTTTGGTCAATGTCAGCCAGAGGTTAACCTGGTTATAGAATGATTGCCTCACCACGTCTGTGGCCGTCGTTATTTATTTCACTCCACTCCACAAGCCCCGGAGATTGAGCTGAAGTACAGAGCCTGTATTTAGACTTTATATAAGAAGATTGGTGGTGGCCACTGACAGACCGCTCCAGTCAGCCCTGTGTTCACCGATGGCCAGCTGGATCAATACAACACAATTGAGTTTTCCAATCTGTGGTCTTTGGGAACGCAGCCATAGCACTTACAGGGTGATCGCATCTGATGAAGTCTTCATCAGGGTCTATTGACAGATTCATTTGAGCACTCTCCTTCCACCCTTACTACACTGTAAAGTAATGGGACACAAAAACCCTCTTTAAAAAGTTTTATGGAGCTGATGGACGAATCGAACCGACAAAGCTATCTCACTCTGGAGTTGACGCTGATTTTTATTTTTCCAATTCCTAACTTTGTTTTTATTGTATCTTTCATTGAGAAAACTGTTTATTTTTGTGCAGTCGTTTCTAAATTTACACTCGGCCTCACCCTTCACCCTTAAAACCAAAACTGCTCCAAGCGTTCAGATTTAACAATAACTAAAATAAAAGACCAGATGAAAAAATATTCAATAAAGCACAAAGCAAGAGATTTGCTTTTGAAAGCAAGGCCTGAAAGTGACCTGGCGGCCGATAAAGGGACTGTGTAAATTTCCAAATTATTTCATATTTGATTTCTAAACAAGCCGCAGGGGTATCGGATATCACACGCTAATGCACAGCGGTCACATGTGTACTCTAGACATTGGTTGGACACTCTGCTCGGCTTGTTTGATGTCCAAGTTGTTTTTTCTCGTCTGGAGCGGAGCTGCTCGTAAGAAAGCCATAATCCTTGCGGTATTGCTGTGGCAAGCACTCCACTGGCACAACATTTCACAGCAGCGTGCGTGACTCCACTAATTTTCTCCGTTGTTGTTTTACCTGTTTTGTATTTTTGCTCCCCCCCCCCCGACCCCCTTTCTTTCTGAATTCTCCAGAGAAAGAGAGAGATTTTTGAAGTCAGGGTGGATCGGCCAAAGGTGGTTTCCCAGAGTGGAATGCCCAGCGAAGCTCTCTTCTCTGTGAATTGATTACAGGGGAAGATCTGCTGCCTCTCACAATGCAGCTGGATTTAATAATGTAGGATTTAGTTGGCGCGGCTTATTAATCCTGATTATGGTTTGCTTCTGCTAGCAGATATTTTGCTATGGTCAATTATCTAATGGTTCATTATATTTTGTTTAGTAAAAGATCATTATTTCAAAATTTAAATAAAGGTCAAAATGTAATGACCCTTGCAGCACAAATGCTGCATTTTCTCTTCATTCTGGTATTTCTGTTTCAGAGGCGAGGGAAACAAAAGTAGCACCAGCCCACTAGGGTTGGGTATCGTTTAGGTTTTTTTTACAATACTGCTGCATGAACCGATACTTTTGTTAAAAAAGGAGCATACAATGATGGTCAGTGACATTCAAGAACAGCCTTTTTTATTGCCAAGGCAAATTTGAACTTTAAATTTAATATATCAACTCCCGACAGTTTAAAGTATACTTACATTCAGTTGAATTCAATTTAATTCATATAGTTCCTGTTTCAACCTGCTTCACGTCTTTATGCTCTACTCATCTTTACATCGGAAATGCTACATAAATAGTTTTTATCTTGAGTAAGAAAATCAGTATGTATAGAATATATTTCCCAAAATATTGAACCCTCTTGACTTCTCACTTTTCCCATCTCTGTCTCGCTTCACATACAACCCCCCTCTCTCTCTCTCTCTCTCTCTCTCTCTCTCTCACTCACTCACACACACACACACACACACACACACACACACACACACACACACACACACACACACACTCTCTCTCTCTCTCTCTCCTCTCTCTCTCTCTCTCTAAGGTTCTGCCTCTTGTGATGTTAATTCCTCATTGATCTGGCCCCCTCAGGGCACCAGCACTGTTTACACAGACCGTCATACAGAGTGCAGGGGAATAGTACATTAAACTCTGCACAGCATTGTTGACTGCTCTGTTCTGGCTTGTTTGTATGTGCAGCAGTGTGGCTTTGCCGTGAGATGTAGAGATACAGGAGACAAATATGAGCAGCAGAGATATTTGAAAGTAAAATTGTCTTAAAAAAAAGAGAATTATGATATTTGGTATTTTTATCTGTTATCCTTGTACTGAAAGGTTTGTTCAGAGCTGAAGTAATTCAGTCACACGTCACATTCGAGTTACCCTTCATCTGTAACTCATTCAGCATTTCTCTCATCGGTCTTGATGAAAGAAATGAAGCGTGATCCTGAGTTTCAGCTCCACTGAAGCAGTCACCCAAAAAACTGAAGTCTTAGTTAATTTATAAAAGTTCAACAATGATGAAAGAATTATAAGCACAGTGGCGTGGGTACTTCTTCTGTATCTGTAAAACTCACCAACGACAGACTTATGGGAAATATTGATCATTACAGGCTGCTAAAACACACAAATATTAGATATTTTTTCACTGTCCTTGGACAAAAAATAAGAATCAAGCATTAGGACTTCGGGAACCTGATTTCACTTAAACTGTCTAATAATATGTTTTCTTTTTTTCTTTTTGTCCTTGAGAATTGTACTTGTGATCAGCTCAAAAGTGTCTCAAACAGTATATTCTGTAGTGTGTCAAACTGCTTCTTATCCTGCACAGTATTTGAAATGTGACAGCCTGATGTTGACATAATATTTTAAGGGTTATTAACTATATATGAATATATCATCAGATTTCTGTGATCTTAGGTTGTGTGTTTACGTGACTGACTGTTGTGTGTGTCTGTCTCCTCCTTCAGAGCTGTCAGATGTTGAACCCAACGTCTTTCTGAGGCCCTTCCTAGAAGTAGTGCGCTCCGAGGACACCACTGGACCAATCACAGGCCTTGCACTTACCTCTGTCAACAAGTTCCTTTCCTATGGCCTTATTGGTGAGAAATCTTGTCATCAATCAATTTCTTCAATATTTTTTTTCTTTTGTTAGGTAAAGTTTTACCCTGAAAGCACATACTTAAATCATCTAATAAATTGGCCCCACAACATTTTTATAGTTGATGATGTTTGCAGTTTTAGTTGTGAAGCATACACATATTATGTCTCTACAGTACCAGTCAGAAGCTTGAGAACACTTGCAGAATGCATGAAGCAGTGAGAACCAGCATGGTTCCACTTGAAAATGGAACATAAACATAAAAGATTTTGTTCCATCACTATGGTTACCGTGCCCAGTAGGTTTCTGGCTGTCCTTAGCCACTTGGCATTGTAGCACATCGTAGTGAGCTAGATCAATATTGAAATACTTCTTGATGGCTACAATTACAATAATGAAAAAAATATTCTATGTGGCAGAAAAAGTGCTGTTTCACCATCAGTGAATATAAATCTGTGACATTTTATGATTTACAGCTGATCTACTGTGTAGGTTTTAAGTTATTAACGTTACTTAGAATTAAGTTGTAACATCTCTGTAGCGCAACAGTTTTAATTTTAGTAATGTATAAATCACAACTTAGTAATAATTTCCATTATAAATAGGCTAAGTTTGAACTTACTGCTGCTGCAACAGGCTGCTGGTCCCTATTTCTCTTTACATGTCGATAATCTGTGAAGGTCTGATGACTTGTTAACACAGAAAAGAAGTATTGTAAACCCATAATATACTGTAATTCTAATCAGAAAGATGCAGAACCATTGTGAGCTAGTCAACATTTTTATTTTAATCAGATAAGTCTGTAGCCACTGTGGTTCATCACCACCTGAGATATATCCCAGGTCACCCAGCTCCAGCTCTTCCTGCTATCTCAAGCTGCCCTTCAAAAAGCTACAGTCGAGCCCTTCCTCTACAGACAACAAAAAAAGTAAAGAAGAGTGGCAGCCCATACAGCACCATGGCTTTCTGAGACTTAGGACAGCTATGAGGTGCGAAACAGTGTTTGACGATTGGTAGCTGAACTACTACTAGTGCTAGCAAGCTTATCCACTGCCATTAGCTTAGCTTGCAAGGCTTCTGAAATGTAGCCTACGGACATCTTCAGCCATTTTCATGTGTTATCCTCACCTATTATCCAGAGTTTATCCAGATACAGATTGCATGTTAATACTAGGTGGAGATGCCATCAACGTGTTCAAGTATATAATCATGAATCACTTTTTGTAACACACATAGTGTGCAACTGAAATTGTGGTCATATTTATTGTTTACCATTGTGAAGCTACATGTTAGCCATTGCTGTTGCTGATAGTCAGGTCAGCTCAGGAATGCCAGGAATGGTCCACTCTCATCATCGATGCAGAAGCTGACTTGTGCTGGCGTACAGTCAGCACTGCCTGTCCTCATTAGCCTCATCATGGAAATATGGCCCGGTGTCTGCCAGTTGTTTTGTTAAGTGTGAAATGAGCATGCATCACCAGATGTTAGTCTAAATAGCAGCAGTTGAGTCAATGTTACATTGCTGGCAAAACAGCTGCAGTCACTGCCAGACTGAGCTCGCTACTAGAGATGTGCCAGGCATTTCTGGGTCCTTTTCAGTAGCTTGTAGTTTTCTTTTTATTATGTGAAAGTTAGCAACCCTTGGCGATTGCATTTGAAATTAAAAAAAAAAAAAGTTTTGCACATATAAGTGAAACAATCTCTGGAACAGGTGAGGGTTCAGGAATTTTTGGATGTTCATCCAAACTGAAGACCAGCAGATGACGATGCTTTCCAGACTGAATGATATGGAAGTTCCTCCTAGTGCATGTTAAAAGGACTGTCTGCCAAGGCTCACACACATACACACACAATATCTGTTTAAAGATCACCTCACAAATCGCTCCCTGAGTCCCAGAGCCTCTGTCTGTCACTCCAGACCTGACACCAGCTCCCTTAATCCCCACCACCCGCATCCTGACGCCATCTCACCACTGCCAGCATCTCATCAGCACTGTTCTACGGGGGGCACACGGTCGCGGTGATGCAGCTCTCAAGGCAACGGCTCTCGCTCTCCTCTAGCCGTGAAGATGAGGAAATATGACAGTGGTTCAACAACTTTATTAACCCTGCGCCATCAGTTTGACTTTTGCTCCTCAAATACCTCTTCTAGTTTTACTTAGCCATGCATCCATCTTTTTTTCTTGTAGTGGGGGCGGTGTGCATGCCATATTGAATGCGAGTTCAAAGAGTATTGAAACTTGATCTGAAGAATGTGTCAGAAGCTCCCAGAGGAGACCAAAGACATATTTTCTCATGAAAGTGTGGAGTGACTATGTAGAAGATTTAGATTTCCAAGGAGAATGCAACGGTACCAGGCAGTCATTTTAAATCATCTATATAACTGAGAAATATAGCATAACTTTCCACTGAAGTTTTAAAAAGGGATTCTTCTCAAACAGTGCCCCCTTTTTTAATGTCCAGTTTTTGATTTTATTTAAAGTGAGCACAGTAATTTTACATTTATGTCAAACACATACCAGATTTGTTTTGTGTTAAAAAATAAAATAGACTACATCTAGAGGTGAGTGCTGTATTATCCTGTCTGAAAGTTTGTTGCTGATGGTTGCCACATTGTATTTGGAGATTTTCCTTGTTTCACAGTTGGATAAAGAGATTCATAGATACAGCTAACTTAAGCGCCATACAGTAGGCAAAAGTACAGTTAAAAACTATTTGATTGTTATTTTAATTTGCATTGACTTCCCATAATTCCAAGAAAATCATGACATACTATTCCGTTAATAATGATAACATTCATTACAAAAATATTGACAATAAAGGAGAATGAAGACTGTACTAACTAATTATAAGTACATGCCGATTTTTTTTGTTGTTGAAGAAATCATAACTGAAGTAGGATGTATAAAACTGGCTTTATGAGAGCGGGGTAAAAGTGAGTGGGAAATGGACCCAAATTACAACATCACTGGTGTTGTCAAGTACTGCCATCTTCTGGCTAGGAAGAAATCCAAAAATCTGACATCTGAGTATTTGATGAACACTTTTGGTGGATGATTCAGATGATCTTAAACAATGTTGCTCAGCATTAGCTTTGCACGTGATACTTCATCTTCAGGTCTGTTTGTTTTTATAACCCGCAGTTAGACAGATGCTTCTGTAGGTGGACTTGCTCTTGGTACTGCTCTGTGATCCTTGCTCAATGTGTCATGTTACCATTATATGTCTTGTAAGCTTTCAGCAAAGGATGGAGTGTGTTGACGTTAAAGGTCAGTTTAGGTTTACACACATGACGCTGTCATCCCTCTCAGTTCTTCATCCTGGGTGTTGAATTTGATCCTCCCCTTCAGTGTGTCACTGCAAACATTTCCCCTGCCCCTTCCTCTTTTACATTTTTTTTTTTGCTTGTCTAGGGCCCAAGAGAAAGGCAAAGTCAATTGTCTCCCACACACACTCAGTCATTTCCTTTAGTGTGAGGTAATTCCTTTCAATCTGTGGCCTGAGGTCTACTGGCATGGTGGGAGCAGCAAACTAAGCCTCAGTGCTGACAGATATCCAGATCTCTGCTCTTTCCTCTCTTCTCCCACTGCTCATCTCTCGTCCCCTGTTACTCCCTGGTTCTCCCTCGGTCTCTCCTGCCCGGCAGAGTCAGCAAAGCCCCTCACTGTGGTGCTAGCAGCCACACCGTCACCAGACCACATAGGGCTCAGAGCGAGGCTCAGCGGAGGCTTAAACCACAGCCACTGGCAGAAGAGATGAGCTTAGAGTACAGCTGTAGCCAGCCTGTGATTTTAGGGTTGAATAAATTGTTATTCTTGGATAAAATGGCAGTTATAATAGACTAAAGAAGTGCATAATTAGCATGAGCAGCAACATTCCATGTAGTTTAATCAAGAAAAGAGCAACACCTCCTATGCAAAATCCATACACAGAAAATCGAAGGAAAAAGGCACATTTTTTTCTTGCTGACGCCTTCACCAGTCAACTCCCTTTTAAAGGATACATAATACATTTAACACCAAACATAAGATCCACATAAACCATGTGTAAAGAAAAATAAATAAATGAAAAGTTTTTTCCTTTTAAAAAAAATTAAAAGGAAAAAACAACAGAATAATAATAACATTTTAAAGAAAAATAGCACTGATTTAAAAATCTGAGAAAAAAGCCCAATGATGTAATCAGGGTTATAAATTTCACTCTTTCAGGTCCTTTACCTTTATGGAAATGTAATACTAAATAGCTCGAGTAACCTTTTAATTATTATGAATGTATAAATGAATAAATGCATCAAAAATGATAAAGTGAGACATAAATAAACCTCCAGAGAGAGTGAGAAAACTAAAAGTTTGAAAAGAAATATAGACATGTTACAAATTACAACAAAGATTTAAATGTATTTTTTATTTTAATTTTAAAATGTATTTGTTGCATTCAGTATCCAGAGCAGATGAGTGATAACCTGCTCAGAGCGCTCAAACTTCAACATAACCTTTGTCTGTCACTTATTCTATGTTCTTTGGTTTAATTGTGGTTTTGCTTTAAGATATTTTTACTTTAGTTTTCTTGTTGTTTTAAAACAGAATTCACAGGAAAGATACAAGATATTTTTTTCACACTTTAAACTTGATACTTCTACATCATTGCAACAACAACAAGAAAATGCTATAAATATATGTATTCCATGCGTTTACTCATGTTCACACTGACAGCCGGGAACAGAGCGGCCCGGCTGAAAGGTGATCTTGTGCTATTCAGAAGATGAACAGGTGAACAAACTCATTTTCTTCTCTGAGCATGGAAAAAGCAGCAGTCCCTTTGTTTGGTTTCTAAAGATGTATTGGCCCTTATGCAGAGTGCAGCTCGAGAGCTTTTTGTGTGTTGCACGTTTAAAAAAAAAAAAAAGCATCCACTCTGCCCTTTCTGCTCACGCTCACTCACGCCACGTCTTTGATTTTTGTGACCAGAGTTTGATATTACTTAAACTGCTTTATGTGGCAGCTGGTTCAACCCCCTATTGACTTTGCCCACATACCCTCAGGCACACACACACACACACACACACACACACACACACACACACACACACACACACACACACACAGAGCCTCTCCTTTCCCCATGTTATTTTAACAATGCCCCCCCAACCCCTCCTTTAGACACTGCTTGTATAGACTTTGTGCCAAGAGAAGGATTAGTGTTTTATATCACTTCTGACATTCTGCTGGATCCCACTGTGGCTCCAGTTTCTGCGTCTGGACGTTGGATGTTTTCTGCACAACTTCCATGCTTGTTGTCGCCTTCGCCTCTGGAGAGACGTTGGCATTGCTTTGTCTCAACCACGCATAAACCAGTTGTCATCCATTAACCAACTTCTGACTGATATACTGTTTGTACTACAGGTCGGCACTACAGCAGCCAATTACTAAAATGTCCCGTGCGTTTGCTAAGTGGGTAGTTTCCTAAGCAGTACCATTATTTATCTAATATCCACTAGCTCATAAGGCAAGATTCACCTAAGCTGTCCATCTTTTCCACATAGAGTCTTCATGTTGACAGGCTACATTGTTGTTTTACTTGGAAAATCCTCATCTGCACCCTCGCCGTCCTTCCGCTCCCCTCTCTTTCCCCCTGTGCTTATTAGTTAATGAATTGCTGCTCCTTAGGGCGATGGGAAAGGAAAACAGGCTGGCTCTGTGCAGATAGCTGTCCGGCCGCTCGGGTTTCAAAAACACTGGCTCCTGTTGCTCTGACAGCCAATTTGTCCCAGCCTGCCTCCAACAAAAGGCCACATCTGGTCATTAGATCGCAGGGTTTGAAGGACAATCTGGATGGACCGTACTAGATTTGTCTAGTTCTGTTTTTGTGTTGCTGGAGCTGTGTTCATGGTTACTGAGTTAACCCACAATCATTACCCCCCACTTCCTAGATCAAGGATCTCCAACCTTTTTATATATATAGCGTGCATTTTTACTTTGAGTTATTTTCATATGGGTGGAACCAGTTTGATTTGGAATTGTGGGTGTGGAAGTAATTTTTTATCTAGTTGTGGTATTGACACTGAAGCATCTTATGATAAATCTACTGATATGAATGAGAGTCAGTTTACTCAGCTCGCCTTATCCAGGTAAAACAATTAATTCAAAGGCAATTAAAGTCAAAAGGCAAGAGCTTAGGGATCCATTTGGGACACAGAATGAATGCCAAATGTAGAGGGGCAGAAGGGAAGCACGGTTTTTACTGAGAACATGTACAGGCTAGTCTCAGTATACTTTTTAATTTATAAAATTCTATCATATATTAATATTACATATTTAAATGTATTTAAATGTTTCTACACAATGAAGACCGTTTGTACTGAAGTGAACAAATTGAGAAAAAAGATAGCCAGCAGGGACGAGACGAAAATGTGAAATACTCGCCTGTGAATTTGTTGCATTGAAACAGTTCATACCGACATGCAAATGAGTGACATTCAAACAGTTCCCAGGGGTATCGGGGTCACACTGACAGGGTTTCATCTCAGCTACCTGTCCCGGGGCTCAAGTCCGGTCCATTCTGTTAGGATGTACACAAACAAACTGATGTAGGCAGCGGTAGAGCAACTCTTGTGTTCTGGAGGTAAAATGAAAGTTTTTCTGGGCTTTGAAAAGAGCGTAGATGGCTTCAATCATCCCATCTCACTGTGGTCACATTGTCTATAATTTGTATGTCCTTTGTCATATAATACAGGGAAACACAAGCAATCAACAGGTCCATCATAAGTTGTGATGTGATGTCTGTTCCACATAATGTGAACTGTTGACGCCTTTATTTGGAGTGCGAAAGAAAAGAAAATCAAACTTGTTACAAAACAAAATTACATTGCTTTTTCTCTGCGTAATATTCTTGTTCTGTGTGACAGTAGTCATCACAATAACATTTCGAAAAAATATACTGACGTTCAAATGGGTGTGCCTTAAGAACATTCTCACGTGCTACCAGGCACCACATTGGAACCCCCTCTCTTAAATCTCTCTCTCTTACCCCTGGAATGGGGACACATTCTGATTGTCATTCTGAAGGTAAACTGAATTTAAACACTTGGAGCAGGTTTCCACCACATGCACCGCAGGCAGAGCTAGTTACACACTGCTCTACCACCTTTCCTTGGATGGTGGAAGTGAGCAGCCTACCAGTATATGAAGGTGTCCTGTTTCATTCTATCAAGTCTTATCAAGCCATGGGAGTAAAGAGGAAGTCCACACTGTAGTCCCACCACCCGCTGTGCACCCAAAGTCTTCTCTGAGCAGAAGCAGTAGACATAGCAGCTGCAGATATTATTATATGGTGATGTTACACTACAGCTTCTATAGCTGTAGTGTAATATTCCTGTGGAATAGTCTGTTCATTCACAGAGCTCCAATGGAAAATTGACTTCAGATATAGAAGTTGCAGCTTATCATTCCTGTGTAGGCCATAAGCAGAAGGGGTGAATGGGCTGCAGTTTTTTTGGTTTGTGAAGGAAATCTGTTCTCTTTATATTTACCTGTCAACTTTATTAGGTACACCTGTGTAAACTAACGCAGCAGCTCCTGCTACTTCCCAGCAGTGTCCCGTGCAGTGTCCCGTTTGCCATTTTGTTTCCAGCCAAGTCATGACCTAACCTGCATTGAACATCGTGTCTGTTGCCCTCAATAACATGGCTTCCTTTCAGTGTTCTTGCCTATGAAAAGCTCTTATTATATCAAGCTAATCCAGCTTGTTTTGGAGTGTGAATTTTTGAGAAAATTGTGTGTTTTTCTTGTCTGTTTGCAGATGCTAACCATGAAGCAGCTGCAGAGGCCATTGAGAACATGGCAGACGCAGTCACCCATGCTAGATTTGTGGGAACGGACCCTGCCAGCGATGAAGTCGTGCTTATGAAAATTCTACAGGTACTGAAGGACCTGACAAACGAGGTCCATGTTGTCTCAATCCCTGTACAAGAGAATCCAGTATAGTGTAGCAACCTTCTAGTAACAGACCTTTCTGAGCCTTATAGTTTAACCTTGTTACAGCAACTTTAAATAAATTCCATTAGATTTGCACAAGCAAGTACAATGAAGAAGAATTTCTATATTGTTTATTTATTTTATTTTTACTTACAAATAATCAGAAAAATATGATTAATGTGCTATGTCATCACCTAAAATGACTCTGGAGTAACATGTTAGTGGATCTTAGTGCCAAAAACTCCTGGAAAATGATTTCCGAAAAAGAGCATTATAAATAAATGAATAATACATCTCAAACTAAAAACAACAACAAGGTATGTTCAGGATATCACTTAGCACTGCAGTAGTTCTGGAAACAGGATGCTTAATTTCACCATGAGTGTCACAAACATCTCCAAAGTTTTATCTTTTTGGGCACAGCATATTTTCCCTTCATCTTCATAGTAAATCCCAGCATTTGCTTGGGAAGTGAACCACACATTGTTCAAGCTCCTCTTTATGTGTCCAGAATGTTTATAAGTTATGGCTGTGGAGTGATTTGAACAGTCTTTTTCTATAACAAAACCTGCATGCATGGGAGTAAGCAGTTGTATGATTTCAGTCTGAGTTTTTTGTTAGATGAACCTGATTGATGAATTTTTACAGTTTGCTACAGTGCTGTATGATACTGTGTTTCAGGTCCTGAGGACTCTGCTGCTGACACCAGTTGGAGCCCATCTGACCAACGAGTCTGTCTGTGAGATCATGCAGTCCTGCTTCAGGATCTGCTTCGAGATGCGTCTAAGTGGTGAGTATTTCATGACAGTCATTTCTTGGAAGAAATAAACTCATACTGCAAAATATGTAAGCAACTCCTGTGGTTTGTGCAAGATAAATCTGAAGCTTCATAAGATGACTAATAGGACAGGAATACAATCAAAAATAGGATCTATGACTCAAAAGATTATGTTTGTCTTTCAGACTTTCTGTAACATTTTTGCTTTAATCTAAAATACTGCATTCCAGCAATCTGAGAAAAGTCAGTTAATACTTAACCTAGTAAACGTGTGATGTAGGATCATAAGTTTTGCTTCGTTTTAAGTGGACATGAGCCAAAATGTTGGAAACCACTGCAAGGACTTTTAACAGTTTGTTAGGAGCAGTTTGGGTGAGATTGAACTTGTTCTGACAATAAGAAAGGAATTTCTATTTATCTCTTGTATAGTTTAAAGGAGTTCAAAGGGGGCTTTATTGTCATATGCAAAAATAAAATCAATCAATGCAATGAAACTCTGTTTATGTCTTAATCTGGTGCCAATTAAAAATATGCTATAAACTAAGTTTTTAATGCCATGAATAAATTAAAAGAGGTAACATAATAAATTAATAAGAAGTACTGTAGGCAAACAGACACACCATATATTCACCTACCACTCAAACATCATACATACTGAGGTAGACAAAGTGATAACAGTTGCTAAAAACATTGAAAGTACATATGTTATAACACACCTATTTATTATAATTAACCTGCATGCTATTTTCTCATAAGTTTGGATATGTAGTCTTCTGCTGGTTAAGGGATGGTCAAATTGAGAATGAATGACAAAAAAATCTTTGCATTTCTATTATTTAATTGAGAACAATTAGAAACCGCCTGCATAAACCAGCCCCCAGTTCAAACTCAGCCAGACGTGACTGCTCCTGCTCTATTAGCTCTACCTTGAAGTGTGTCTAAATGTCTCTCTGTCTGGTTGTCTATTTTATTCTGTTTGCTTCTAATGTCTGCTTCTCTTCTGTGTTTGTAGAGCTCCTCAGGAAATCAGCTGAACATACACTGGTTGACATGGTGCAGCTACTGTTCTCCAGGTAAATGAATGTGATAGTGGTGAAGATAGATGCAGTAGATGTTAGAGTTCAGATACACCTTAATGTGTAAACTTAGGATTCAGTATGTTAACACCCAGTTTATTTGTATATGTTAAATATGATGCCTGTTTAGGGACTTTTTTTTTCAGGTGAGCTATCTAATAAAAACACCTGTAGGGCTACAATTGATGCATGAATGCTGCTTCAAAATGAAGGAAAGTGAAGAGTAGTTTCAAGTCGGTGGTTTTTCTTGATGATCTTCACTGTGCACAATGATGAATGTGCAGAGTTTGACGCTAGAAAGATGTTTCCACAGTCATCTGCTAGAGCTGCATGAAATGATAATGAACATCATATTGTGATTATTGTGCAGATATTGCAATATGATTCACAATTAGTGACAAAAAAGTAAGAGCCTGGGAGACTAGTGAGGAGATTACTTTAGGCTTTGAAGAGAAGAAATTGACAAAATGTAAGCCTTAAAGAGGAAAAGTTAAAGATTTTTAAAAGATTTGTAAAATCTTTTCAGAACTACAGTACTTCACTATTTTGGTTTAGTTTGTCACTCATTTTACCTTTTTATCAAAATATTGTAGCTTCTGCTATTTTTATATCTCACTTGGCCATATTTCATTAATATTTCAATTAATTGTGCAGCTCCATCATCTACTGCTGTGCTCATTGAAAATTAGATTTTAGGGATTTCAAGTCATTCCTGGTCCAGTATGCAACTTCTACATTAACTTGAAGCCACCAGTGCACATCCACTTGGAATGGACTTTACAGGAAAAGAAGAGAAAGGAAGAAATTAACATTTGAATATTCATAGATTCTGGAATTTTTAGCGAGGTGGAAGGAGTAGTACTTTTTAAGGATTTTAATAAAGAAATCATATGTTTTTTTGCAAAAAAAAAACCCCACTACTTTTCCAAGCCGACTATTTGTATGTGTCATAATACATGTCTGGAGGGGATCTTTAAGTTGGTCCACCACGGAAGAAGAGCAGGCCAGACTGCCACTGCTCCTTCATCACCTCTAGATTATAGATGGACGGTTTTCTGCATATATCTGTCTCTCAGGCCTCATTATTCCCCTTGAAGCTCATGAATTTCATTTTGTACTGTGAACAGGGTCAATGGGCCACTGATTCACTAATGCCATAACATGATTTCTCCTTTGGCATTTAGCATAAGAGCTCCCCCCCCACACTCACACACTCACACACTCACACACTCACACACTCACTCACACACACACACACACACACACACACACACACACACACAAACCACCATCCAGATGCATCAGAGTGCCAGTCACATTCAGTCACAGACAAGCGGATGAGCCAATTGAGCTTCACGCAGCATGATCTGCATATAGATGAAGCTGGTCTCTGCTTTGACAGCAAAGCTCCAAGCCCCATAAATACTAAGAAGCATACCTACACGCACACGCAATGCACGCACGCACACACACACACACACACACACACACACACACACACACATATACACACACACACACACACACACACACACACACACATACACATACACATACACATATACACACACACACACACAGGCACACATACAGAATTAGCATTGCCAGCGATCCCAGACAGAAGCAATCAGGAAAATCAGCCCTAAAAAAAACCTGTGCTCATTTGAATGTGGAGGAGCACACCTGAAGAACAAACAGAGCTCAAAATAAAGTTCTGGTGTTATCCGCCTGATGTTTGAAGGCGTCTCCACCAAGTCTATTTGAAACAGGATTTGTCACAAAGTGATGGGTTATCTTCCCCCACTGAAGTCCAGTGTTGGTTTTTGCCAAGCTTGTCACCATTCACCAACTCTCACCCCCCGCATTCTTGGCCTGTTTTTATTTATTGGCAGGACTCTTGTATGGCACCTTGTTATCATGTCCTAACAAGATTTTACTGTGCGAGCATGGAAATAGAAAAGCTTGGCGGCCACAGTCGTAAACAGAGGCATCCCTGAGCATAGACAGCAGATATAAATTTAGTGTGGGCTTTTTACTACATCCTTCTGATATTGCTCACACACATACACACAAGCCCCACATCTCATTTTGCTCATGTTCAGCCCTCCCAGCCCCCCACTTGTCCACAGACCCTGGATAATAGAGATGTGAGAGGGTCTGGGCTTCCCCTCTCCTCCGCCCCCCATCAGAGAATAATGAGCAGCAGCTCTCTTCAGCTCCTCAGAAGGAGTCTTAGATTGCCTGCTGAAAGTATTAGGCATGTTAATCTGTTGGACCCACAGATCATCCAATAATCATGCTCGCAAGACAACACTCTATTAACGCTCAGTTAATGTCAGGAGGGGGGCTGCCGGCTCCTTGTTTGTCTGTGTGTATGTGTGCGTGACTGCTGGTGACATCTCATTTTCCAGCAGAGCTTTAGAATCCACAGAAACCTAGTGGCACACACACACACACACACACACACACACAAAGGCTGTAATACCTTGAGAACAGCAGCCAGTATTGCTCATCAAATGTTGGAAAAGTTTATTGGCTCAGGTTTAAAATGTTGAGATTCCCACCGTGATATTGCCTCAGGACACAATCTAAATACCTTTTGTGTAAATTGTTTCATCTGTTTTAGGTTTAGAAAATACACTATGGCTCTCACAATTTAGTATTTCATTTCCATTGAGCTTGGGGTTCCAACAATAGGCAGATTTGAAATATTTAATTGTCTGGAACAATTATGATAATCTCAACATATGGCTACGTTTTTAATCATAAATAGCAAAATTCCACTGGTTCCTGCTTCTCAAATGTGAACGTCTTATGTTTTTTTATGACAGTAAATTGAATCTCTTGGTCAGAACAAGACATTTGAAGATGCCATTATGGTCTCATCTGGACTCTATTTTATAGGCCAAATCATTAATTGGTTAAATTATTAATATTAAATCATTCAACAGGGTTCCCAGGGTCGTCCCCTAATTGGAAGGTTAGTGGTTCAATCCCCGGCTCCTCCGGCTGCTGGTCAAAGTATCCTTGAGCAAGATACTGAGCCCCAAGTTGCTCCTGATGCTGCGTCATCGGTGTATGAATGTGCATGAATGACTTAGTTTCTGTTTGCTGGACTGGACTGAGTGAATGTGTGTAAAAGCACTTTGAGTACTCAGAAGACTAGAAAGGCGCTATACAAGTACAGGTCCATTTACCATTTACAAACTTGCAGCGATTTTTTGTTTTCGGAGCCAGAAGCAGAATTCTCATGAAAGCCCAGTGGAAAAAAGTCTTATTGTTGTGGTCAAAAAATACACGCACAGAAATGGTAATTGGGCGTGCAGCAAAGACTTTCTGCTTCTTCTTATAACAGGCTAATAAGTGAGGAGATTAATTTTATGTCAAATTAATTCTACTTAAGTAGAACTGTTATTGGCTATGGCCACAGTCATGTTACAGTAAGCAGTGGAAAAGTCGTTGAATTAAGATGGAGCATCTCATGAACGCTGACCACTTATCTGTTATGAACCTGAGACACTTCATCATTAATCTGTATCATTAAACAAGGAGGAAAAAAATGGAATGTGTCCATACTAGACCTACTGGTAAATGAGCAGTTAGTCAGCAAGTGCTGTCCTGTACTTTCAATAAAAGTCCTGGAAAGGTCCTGGTAAATGATTTTTCCACAAAATTAGTGGGAATTGCAATTAATCGTAGTTGCTGACCTACTGCCTTTTGGTCCTGATATGGGTCAAGCTCCAAAAACTCTGGATCCTACATTTCCCATAATGCAGCTAATAGTATCTTTTTTTTTTAGACTTGTGTTTTTTAAGCTACATGCCCCCAGTTGTCACACAGCTGTAATGGTAAAACCTGTGGGTAACAATTTTACCTGTTCACACCACCTCCTACACCAAACTGTTCACCAACTCAGATTGTTTTGATCTGCCCACTTCCGAATACTTAAGATGGAAAAAATGACAGATTTTACTATACACTGCACTTTGTATCATTGTGTATGTGACAATAAACTTGATGTGATTTGATCTCTCTAACATGGAATATGTTTGCTCTTTTTTAAAAACCTAGCATTTGAACCATACAGATTCTAAAATAAAAGAAGAAACACAGATGCAGTTAACAGCTCCTCAAGTCATCAGCAACACAATGTATACCTTTTTTATTTACAAATTCATAATTTTTAATTTCCTGTATCTATAAGGAGGATGCTCTCCTTGAAGTCAGTGGGTTTTTTGAATGGGTTTTTGGTTAGATGCCTAAAATAAAGTCTGTGGTTAACACAAGCATAAAAGATTTTCATGTTTTGTTCTGCAACATCATCCCTGCAACACTCATAGATTTATGTCAGAAGATTGTTTCCCCAAAGACTGCCTTAATTAACTTGTATGGGTGTGTCTTTTTTCTTTCAGACTACCACAGTTCAAAGAGGAGGCCAAGAGTTATGTGGGTGCCAACATGAAGAAGGTAACATGACTGAGATGTTGAATGCGTATTTGATCTGCTCGCTATTATTTCTCCATTTTAATGTCTTGTTTTTTTCATTGTCATTGTGCTATTTTTAGGTTTCTGTCTGAACTTTGTATCTGTGCCTGTGAAATACAGTTATTGATGTAATAACAACACATCACATCACTGACTGAGTAATGTGAACATGTCCAAAAGATCAACCTCATTATCTGCATATTGTAATCTGTACTCTATTAACTTTACATCTAAGGACTCGAAGTCTGGATAAACCTTTAAAACCACTACTCCTGTCACCTGTTCCCAACAATGCAGTCCCGTCTAATCTCATTTCTGCCCTTTCAGTTCAGTTTTGCTTTTTGGAACTTGTAGTTTTTGGTTGAGTTTCCCATTTTTCTGTGTTTGCCTGTTCTCCCTCCAACAGACCCCATCCTCTATCCTGGACACTCAGGATCTTATTTGTGCAGAGCAGCATAGAAACACAACACAGAGTGGCCTAGAGAGGGTACTTAACTTTCCCACCTGATTGGCCCACTGGCGTAGTACACGGACATAGGCAGGGTTAACATGGCTTCTTTGTGGGAGTGCATGAGGGTGCATTGGGTTGCTGTTAAACTTTGGTGGTTTTCAGGGTTTCTAACATTTTGCTCATGCCTATTAATATTATCAAGAGATAAAACTGTTGTTGTTTTTGTTATTCCACCATTACACATTTTAGTTGCTCTAACTAATGAAAATGAGAACATTGTGGGGTAGAACTGTAGTATGAGCAGTGGCTATCAAAATACTGCAAGTATCAAATGCTGCCATTTTTATATACATCCTTAAAGGGATAGTTCAGGTATTTTGGAAGGGGCTGTATGAGGTACTTATCCATAGTCGGTGCATTACCTACAGCGTACTGCAGTCAGCATGTCCCCAGTTTAAAGAAGCAGACAGGAGTACTGGCATGGAAGCTAAGCAATGCACTGCTTTGGGTAGGTGCAGCAACAAAATGTATTTTAGCCCCCTAAAAAAGGCCCACCTAAAAAATCAAGTTAAAAGCTCCAGTGTGTAACATTCAGAAGCTATTGTCAGAAATGGAATATAATATTCATAGGTATGTTTTCATTAGTGAATAATCACCTGAAAATAAGAATCGTTGCGTTTTTGCTACCTTAGAAGGAGACATTTTTATCTACCGAGGGAGCGGGTCCTCTTCTACAGAGTCCGTCATGTTTCTAAAATTACAAAGATGGTGCGTGCTGTTTTTTTTCTGGCCTGTGCCGCTGTAACCCACATATTTACACATGCGCAACTTAAAACGACAGTCTGTGACTGCGTTATACCCAGAAAACTGTGGCACTGCTTATATCTACGAGGCGTGGTCATTTGTGCTTTAATGTTTTAATAACCCTACGCAGTGGGTAACTTAATGCTATCAAGCTAACGTTAACCAACTGTCTTCAGTGAGTAATGTCAGCCTATCCTTTGGAATGCCCTGGGAACCAGCTATTACTTGGCGTAGCTGGCTAGCTTCAGCATGAGTTCATGAATTTGATCAATAATTAAAGCTGCAAGCAGCGTTGGGCAGGACCTCGCCATCTCCCCATGTCGGGGCCTTGCCCGCTGCAGCTGCGCCAAACCACGTCGCCTAACACCCAAACCCTCATCGCTGGAAGCTAAGGGGGAGACAGCTCTACATTTTCACGCGTTTCAGACACTGTGCAAAAGACTTATGCGTTCATAGGAAGACACTTCACTACGAACCGTGGCAATTCAGCACCACGCTACGGACACGCCGTTTGACGCACAGTAAAAATTGGATCAACTTTCGATCACCAACGTGTCTGGATTGCAGTGATCGAATTTGAAGTCAATCTGATAAAATCTGTAGAAGGAGTTAGTTAATATAGAAGCCCTGAAATGCCGGAAATGGCATCACAGTTTGACATTCGATTCAACGTGGCCAACTTTGACGGGATGCCACAGACACGCCCTTCAACGTACAGTCACAAATAGCACAACTTTTAATCAACAACATATGTTGACTGTACTGACTAATTTTGAAGCAGATGCTGCTTTTTAAAAATCCTTTAGGGGGTGCTACACACACGACAAACACAATATTTGGTATGTGAGCTACAGGCACCAGTCTACACATGCCCTGTGAATTTCATATTCATAACTATTACGATCTCCGCACAGTGATTTACCATGCCACCAGAGCGCCACCTAGTGGCGGATTGTTGACACATTTATTAGTGAGCCTCAGGGAGCCATGGGCAAGCATCGTACCAAGTTTCATTTTAATCACACGTGCCGATGCGGAGATATGAACTTCTTCATTTTAAAGAGCACCACTTTTTGGCAAAGGCCTGAAATTGTGCACGATGCCTAAGGAAGACATTAGGAACTATGGACCCAAGCTTGGTGTCAATCGGACATACCAATGTGGAGAAATGGTCCACTTCCTTTTTTGACGAAAGATTTACAGGAAGTGCTAATTTTATAACGTGCTTTTTTTTTAAATATCAAAATTCTTCAAATAACTTTTTTTGCCAGGACGGTCCCCAGGTGCTATGTGAAAAAATTTGTGCGAATGGGACAAAGCGTGTAGGAGGAACACGAAAAAGTAGTTTAAGGACATTTCCCGCTCTAACGGAACAAAAAATTATCGACGGAAGTGGGCGTGGCCTATATGGGAAGATTCAGCTCCATTCACCGAACGCGTGGATACAAGGTTTTTGAATGTGCGACAAACTATGCAGAAGCTATTAGCCTAAACAGACTTTTTATGATAGTAGCGCCACCTAGTGGCCGACCCAGAAGCGACGCAAAGAATATCCAATTTTTCACCAGGCCTGACAACTTTGCCAAATAAAATTGAGTTTTCGTATATGTTCAGGGGGGCAAAAACGCAGTCAGAGGCGCTAAAAATAATAAGAAACATAGCAAATACAATAGGGATCTCCAGCGGTCGCTGGCTTGGTCCCTAATTAATAGTAACTATGTCGTAAAGATTTCATTCATTTATTGTTGCGTCTTGACAAAAACCTTTCTCCTGCCAATGCTGATAACAATTTTGATCAATTTTGACATTTTTAATGCATAAAACCGTTGTACAATTTATTTTGTCTTTGGCCTACATTCAGTCAATTAAATGTCATTTAACAAAAAAGCAGAAATAACAATAACTGGGACACTACACTGTGCTCAAAGTAGACTGAGTCCGTACCACAATGCCTCGGGTTCAATTCCATCCTGCCCCCATCCATCAAGTTGAAAGGAAAAACGAAAAAAAAAACTGGTGGGGCATGCATATATCTAAAATGGTGGCACATGGGAGGAGTTTTCCCTCAGGATGATCTGTCAGAAACCTGTACTGTTTGGTAAGGTTTAGGCACCAAAATTACTACAAAGCCCTGAAGGCAAACCTTTCCAACAAGCTCAGTGGGCCAGGAACTCACACGTGCGTATATGTCTAAAACTGTAGGTGTAGAACTGCGGGGGCTCTCCAGCTCTACAGGTTGATGATATCGAGAAAGCTGCAAGAAGAAATACTGGAAGTCAGCCTGTTTTGAACATGTGTTATACTAGAATAAATATAGCCTAAGTCATCATTTTCCTGTTTTGCTTTTTGAATGACTGTTATATGTGGTTTTTATGTGAGACCTGAATATTGAGCTGGAAGGCGTTGTTCCAGCAGTTGTTGCTTTTTGCATGTTCTGTCTGCCTGCCCACTCACACTGCCTGCTCATTGGCTTGCTGCTCATTCTCCAGTGGTTAGAGTCTATAGTGGCTGTGCCTGTGTCTCCAAACCCTGTGCCTTGTTTGGATCCCACGCCTCTCCCATCATGCATAAACCTGTATGCTCAAGTGTGTTTTGTGTTGGTCCCACTGCTGACATGTTACCCATCACTAATCACGGGCACCTGCCCGCTCCCCTTCTCTTCTGAGGCTTACAATATCTTGTGGAAAAACAAACGAGTGCAGGTAAGGAAGATGACTTTCAGTATTTAGGCTGGAGAATCTCTCCCTGTAACCTTTCCCCTGTCCTTTTTAAGACCTCACTAACCTCCCACTTCTGTAGTCTGTAAGCCTGGCTAGAAGGTGGAACTTGACATGTGCTGTATTTAAGAAATGATCATCTGTTATTAAAGAACAAACCAACAGATAAATGATTCTGCACAGTCTTATCACGTTAAACATAGTTCACTAAGACATTTCTGCTTGTGAATGCTCACATTGCATTTGTATTATTGTTGAGTTTTGTTTTTAATTGAACGGTCTTTTGGGTTTACACCCTCATACATATGTGTCAGCTGCTGTATATCATGACACCCATATGCTTACTGTGTTGCAGGATAGTGCATGTTTCAATATTTTTTTTAGGTTAGATGAGATAAGCTCACAAAACAGGTGTCTGAAACTGTAAATGACACCCTAAAACAATCCCTTTACAGAACCTTTTAAAATGACAGCACCCATCATCAAAGCAGAACAAGTGGAAGCAGATCCTCTTAGTGTGCAGTATTTGTGTGCATGTACTAGGGCTGGGCGATATGGCTTAAAAATATTTTTTTTTCAAAAAGAAAGATTTTTTCACACCAAACCTGGTTTATGATTTTTAATCGATTTTTTTGTAGACTGTTCTTTAGCGGGTGTTTGTGGGCTGTGGTCCTGTATATCTCGCAGAGAGCAACATTTCTCCCACTCGGCTGCATGCGTCTGCTTGAGGTGCTGGAATAAATTGGTCGTACTGCTACCTTTGGTTGCAACAGCTTTCAAACAAACTTTGCAGTGGGTCGTGGTTTGTTTGCTGTCGGACGCCACAAAACCAAACCAGTTCCAAACAACCGACGACACTGTGCCTTTGTCGGGGATGAGCTCATCCTGGCTTGCTGCCATGTTGTGTGTATCTGTGGAGAGGCGGGGGGAGGGGTCAGCGCACTCTGACCTACAGGAGCCGAAAGGGAGCACCGGTGTTGTGGAAGTTCAAGAGAAAACCGATTTTAACTAAAAATAAATCGTGTTTAACTACAAATTCGAATTTATCGATAAAATCGATTTATTGCCCAGCCCTAGCATGTACATACTGAGCTTTTTTTAAATTTCTGTGCATTGTCTTATGAAATTACCTGCTGGTTAATCTACAGTTGAGGCTGTGTTCACTTTGTGCCCCGATCAAATAGGATGTTCTCTTTGGAACCTCACTCAGTATCTTCCCAAAGTGAGATGCATCACCTGTTTCTCAGAGAACCAGGGATGATTGTCAAGTTTATGTTCTCTCCAGATATTTAGATTTGATTTATTTTTATTTTATTTTATGACCAACTATCACCTATAGTGTTGCCAAAGCGTGTTGCACAAGGGTCAACAGAGTTAGTGTAATGAATCAGAATGTAAGAAAATATTCATTTCTGTTGATTAAGCAATATGTTGTCAACTAGTAATCGCAAACTAATTGATAATTGATAAATTAAAAAAATAATAATGTTAAACTTATCTGATTCCAGCTTCTGGAATGTGAATATTTTCAGGTTTCTTTAGTCCACTATGACAGTAAACTGAATATCTTTGGGTTGTGGACAAAATTAGACATTTGAGGACGTCACCTTGGGCTTTGGGAAACACTGATCAACATTTTTGACCATTTTCTGACATTTTATGGACCAAACAACAAAAGTGATCGACAGATTCATTGATAATGAAAATAATTCTTAGTTGCAGCTCTACTTTTCAGCTGCCCTCGGCCAGTCTTTGGTAATTCTGTGGAAGGTATAATATGCAGCTGTTTAGTGACGGTGACTCAAGTGACATCACTTGAGGACATTCTCCACTAAAGGCTTTTTTCAACTTTTTGTATGTTGTAAGTTGCCCTTTCAGAAAAGGCTTCTCATCCCCCTCATGTTTAACACAGGAAGAACTTTAAGAGATATCAAGCATCCTATCTGATCCTGGCCTTAATCAGTAATGATGGTCCAGCAGTACAGTGTGTCTGAAGAAGCCTTACTCAATCATCCACTCTGTTTCCTTTAGTTGAAGATGCGTGCCGGTGGGATGAGTGAGTCAACCAAATGGAAGAAGCAAAAACGCTCACCACGGCCGCCTCGCCACATGGTCCGAAGCCCGTCCGGTCAGATGGACCTAACCCAGTCCAGCACCCTCAGCAACAACAACCTTTCAGGTAAGAGTGCTATTGTAATAATACACTCACAATCATCAGGAGCTATGTTTACATGGAGCTATGTTTACATTCTGATTATATTCAATTTAAAAGCTCTGTATAAACATGTCCAAGAAAAAACGAACAAAAAGTTGAACAATTGAAAAACCACTGGAAACCTTTGAGGACTGCCTATTGCAATGCTGAATCCCAAAACAACATAAGTGGATCTGACCCCACCAACTTTTACGGCTGTGGAACAGAGGCAGAGCGGGTTGTCCCCTAATCGGAAGGTTGTTGGTTCGATCCCTGGCTCCTCCTGCAACATGTCGAAGCAAGATTGTTGAGCAAGATACTGAACCCCAAATTGCTCCTGATGCCGTGCATCCGTGTTTGAATGTGTATGAATGAGTTAGTTTCTGTTCGATGGGCTTTGCCATCAATGAGTGAATGTGTGTGAAAGGTTGAATGTGGCACGTAGTGTAAAAGTGCTTTGAGTGGTCGGAGGACTAGAAAGGCGCTATACAAGTACAGGTCCATTTACCATTTACAAAAGCATTTGCAACATGTCAGACAGCTGTTCCGATTAAATGATGTATTAGATCACATCCCATATGAACAGTTGAGCCGAAGTCTTCAGTAGGAATCATTTCGATCAGAATGAAAAAAGTGTGCATGTAACCATAGGTAATGACCCTTCCACTGCTTTCAGAACTTTCTAGAAGCCAAAATAACATGAAATGCTCTGTCTGTTTTCTTTATTTAAAAATGCTGGCAGGGTCAAATGCAGACATGAATAACATGCTCTTTTTTGTGAAGAATGATCCTACTTTCTGGCAAACAAATACATAAGAAATCTTTTGTGGACCTTACATATTGCTGCTAATTCTGACATGAGGGATTAAGCGAGGGATGTATACATTTGAGCATGCGGGTGAATGGTAAAACCCATTGTGTTAAACCATTGCATGACTGCATCTCTTTCCTGTTAGGCGGCGTACCGTTCATTGAGCAAGGCTTCACCACCTCTATCCTCCCAGCTTCAGACAGTGCTGGTTCCTCCATTTCCAGTCCTACAACCACAGACAGTGGCCTGGATACCTGTTCCAAAGCCACCTCCAGGGAAGACCTTTCTGACCTGGAACAATGTAGCTCATCTGTGACCACCCCTGGGACTGCTAGCACACACCCTGCGACTGAGCCTGGCTCTCTGGATGCACAGGTATAGCTGTTTTGAATATCGATAGGACGACCAACAATCTCCTGTTTGCTCATGATCAGTTCTTGCACACAAAAACATTGTATTTATTCTGTTTGTAACTTTTTCTGCTTTTCCCTTTTTCCATGTTCATTTTGAGAAATTTTGTCTGTTATTGGTGTGTACTCAAGTAATGCTAGTGAGATCCTCTATCTTTTAACTTGATGATAACCATGATTTGTGTTCCATTTGCATCTAGTCTGAAGGCAGGCAGGTTGAACCAGTTCATTCAGCCTCAGTGGAGTCCATCCCCGAGGTTCTGGAGGACAGAGAACCCATCACCGAGCAGTCAGACAGTACCTCTGTCCATGACATGGACTATGTCAACCCCCGTGGTGTCCGTTTTACGCAGTCCACACAAAGAGACGGTACGGATACTGAAGGGTTTCAAACCTCTGACTTCTCTTGTGGTGTTGCTTTCATTAAAAGTGTTTTTTTAACCTTGATATTCCATTTTAGAAGCAAACTGGCTGACTTTGAGAGCTACAGTAATTGTGTTTTCTTTACACACTGAGGATATTGCTTTACTTGTCAGATAGGAATCTACACAGTTATGTGTTCTTCATTAACCTCCGTCCTCCTCTGTACCTCCACTGTAGGAGCATCCCTCATCCCTTATGGCCTGCCATGTCTAAGGGAGCTTTTTCGCTTTCTGATCTCACTGACCAACCCCCATGACCGCCACAACACTGATGCAATGATGCACATGGGCTTGCAGCTGCTGACTGTGGCATTAGAGTCGGGACACATTGCTAACTACCAGTCTTTACTAGGACTGGTCAAAGATGAGCTCTGCAGACATCTCTTCCAGGTAAGGTAGAACATACAAATGAATGCTCGTAGCTCTATAGTTTGTTGTTAAAAATTACAGTTGCTATTAGGAAGTTTTTAATAACAAACTGACACACTGCAATTTGTACTTGAAGATTTTTATTAAAGCCCACCTCATTTCATCTGATTCGATAGTGAATGAGTGAACTGGCATCAAAAACAAAATCTTTGATCTGAGACTGGACTGATTTTCTATCTTAATATTTAAATGTACCTTTTCTGTGGTCTGTGTTGTAGTTGCTGTGTGTGGACCGTATGAACCTATATGCTTCCTCCTTACGAGTTTGCTTCTTGCTTTTCGAAAGCATGAGAGTACATCTAAAGTTTCAGCTTGAGGTAACTGTATTTTCTATTCATCAAATGATATTTATTATATATTGACTGCACTCCAAATATACGGTAAAAACGAATCCTAAGGAACTAAAAATCATCACCCTGTGTGATAAACTGACAGATGTACCTGAAGAAACTGATGGACATCATCACGTCAGAGAACATTAAGATGCCCTATGAGATGAAAGAGATGGCTCTAGAGGCTCTGGTCCAGCTGTGGAGAATCCCCAGCTTTGTCACTGAGCTGTACATCAACTATGACTGTGACTTCTACTGCTCCAATCTGTTCGAGGACCTCACCAAGCTGCTGTCCAAGGTAACATCCCCTTCTGGGATCACTTTAAGTTATATGACGATTCCTGGTGTTCAAAAGCCAATGAATTCTTTGTTGTACATAATACTTTGGTGTTTGATTGGCCAAACATGTTTTTCATGAATCTTAAATAATTACATTTCTTCTACCACCATATTGAATTTTATCGGCAGGTTTTTAAAAGTCTTGAAAAGCACTAAATTCAGTTCCCTTTAAAAGATATACACATATATATATATATATACATATATATATATATACATACTGTGTATGTATATATATATATATATATGTATATCTTTTAAGTATATATAAGTCTTTTCTTTTCTTTTTCTTTTTTGTCATTTTTGTTATAACTTCTTTTAATTGAGGTTGTGTCACATATTATATATCTGTAAACTACAAGTCAGACTTGTCGTGAGTGGATGTGTGGACAGGATGCTGTTCAGTCGGCGCCATCAGACCTGTAGCAAACACTGTTGCCACCTCTAACTACAGTAGCCAAGAAGCTCATTGTTTCATAAGGGGATGAATAGTTTCATATTCTGCAAAAAAGTTGAACTTAAATTACATTCTTTTTCTGGTTTTCTTGTCATCTTTGACCAGCATGACAATGACAAAAAGGTACTAAATTCCATTCTATGTGGCATCGGACACTGCAGAAACCCTGTTTTTATAAAATTTATTTCATTAATCTAAATCTTTTTGTTTTTACACAAGCTTAATAAAAAAGACTTCATTCTGCCTCTAATGTTGGTTTTATACCAAACACACCTTCGTCACAACAGTCATTTTGACATGAAATAGTAGGGTAAACACAGGTGTTGCCAGTGATATTAATTGAGGCTCTGTTCCATTTAATGTAGCAGAGTCTTTCCAGTGACATGCACAATAGCAGCACCCTGAGGGGCCGATTACGAGATTGTTTACATTGTTAGAGGCGTGGCCACTTTAAAAATGCCTTGGCAAAGAGTGTTTGGGGAAAAAACTGCTGGCTACACCCCTGCTCCATAGCTTTCTCACAGGCAGACATCTAGCTAGGTAGCTTACTAGCTAACCTATTTGCCCGCATAGTAAATAGCATCAGATTGGGAAGGAAGTGGTAAAGTAGTAAAGCCCACATCTTGCTTGATATGTGCTGTTTGGGCCAGTGTAACATTGACGAGAGGTGTGACTCTTCTTGACCCTTCTTTCTACAGAATGCGTTCCCAGTGTCAGGGCAGCTCTACACCACCCACCTCCTGTCACTGGAGGCTCTTCTCACAGTGATTGACAGCACTGAAGCCCACTGCCAGGCCAAGGTGGTCAACAGCACTGCTCAACAAGACCAGACAGAAACACTGCTGGCAGAGGGAGAAGCTTCAACCAAAAATGGAACAGACACTTCAACTGGTATACACCCTTTTTCCTTTAGGCCAGCAAAACGCTTAAAAAAACATAAAAATATTAAATAACAAGACAAATATCAGCTATTAATAGCTTCATCTGAAATTAGTATTTATTTTGTTTTTTAACAGAACATATCTTCCTTTTGTCTTCAGATCTTAATAGACTGGGTACTATCAATGGTCTTCCACAAGCTGAGAATTCACTAGTGTGTCCACCAACCAGTGGACATCTGATGGCAGAGAAGATGAGACTGGGCAGACAGGATCAAGTAGACAGTGAGACTGGTGAGATTGTGATCTTATACATACTTTATTTTAAAGTCTTCCTAAACATTGGGAATTGAAGCTAATGTAAGTTTTGTTTTCTTCCAGCAGAGAACAGAGCCCCGAAAAAGCCCCAGCGCTTCTCGTCATGTTTACCCGATTCCCAAGAGCTGATGGAAATTAGAACAAAAAAAAAGGTTAGTAGAATTGATTGATCTAGATTTGTTGTAACAATTACACATCAACAACCAATTCTAAAATCTAGTACTACACCTTCAAACTGCTTTTTATGTCATGTATCCAGCTGCTGATCACAGGAACAGAGCAGTTTAACCAGAAGCCCAAGAAGGGAATCCAGTTCCTGCAGGAGAACGGCCTCCTCAGTAATCCCTTGGACAACAACCAGGTGGCCCAATGGCTCAGAGAAAACCCCGACTGGACAAAAAGATGATTGGCGAGTACATCAGCGATCGCAAGAACATGGAGCTTCTGGACAGCTTTGTAAAGTAGGATGAAATTCTAGGTCATATGGTGTATTTTGTGTTCAAAATAATAAACAAATTACAATCAGGTCTTAAAGGGTGTAGTATAGTGTTAATAATGAATAATTTGAGGTTGTTCTAATAATGCAAATCTTTTTTGCAGCACCTTCACCTTCCAGGGGCTCCGTATTGATGAGGCCTTGCGGCTCTACCTGGAGGCCTTTAGACTACCTGGAGAGGCTCCTGTCATCCAGAGACTCCTGGAAACCTTCACAGACAACTGGCATGTAAGGCACATTTCCTCAACTTCTGAAAAATATCTGAAAAAATCTTTCCTACCGTATATCAGCAGCATTTAGACATTCACATTAATGACACTCCAACATTCCAGAGCTGTGGATCCGACTGTTATACTTTGGACTTAAGTCAGACTTCAGTCATGGGTTGGATTACTTTAGAACTAACTTATATAAAATACTTGAACCTTTTGTACTGAAAAGATGTGACATCCAAAAGCTGAAGCGAAACAATATCGACAGTAGCGTAATCAGAACATGGTCAGTAATATAGGACCCAATCAGCGTGGAGAGATTAGGCTCCAACTTAAGCAACAAACCATCAGCCAGTTTGCTTTCAGATTCCAATACAAATTGCTTGAAATGATGCAATCTCTGGTAATTATACATTCAAAAGATGGAAAAGCAAGGTGAGCAGATAAAAATAGTTTGTGAGTAAGCACTAAAATAAGGGAAGAATAATATAAGTAGAATTGAAATGGTTACAAGAAATGAACCTACCAGGGATAATGTAAAAATCAAAAAAGAAAATAAATAATAATAATGTGGTTTCATGTTAAAATAAATATTTTTTATACTTGTATTGATTTGAAGTTTTAAATTCTGGTATCACGACAACCTTAGTCTTGGGACTTGTTTGTACCCGTTTGATTTGGAACTTTATTTGGGACTTCACAGCCAAGACTTGAGACTTACCTATGGGTTAAAAAACAAGAACTTTGTTGTTCCACCTCTGCAAACGTGTGATCGACTTGGTCCCATATACACCATAAAACACAGCTGAGATTCATGTTGGTGAATTAATTTCCTGCTGCCTTCATGACACACACACACACACACACACACACCTTTTTCTTCCATTTCCATTCAGCGAAGCCAACGTGAAACATGATTACCAGATCACATGATTAACCCTCCAGATTATAGTAGTATGATGACATAAGTGTTAACACACACACACATATACACAATGATGGGCAAAGGACAAACTCCACAGGGGGTAACATTTGACTTCTCAAAATAGCAGGAGGAGCCATGTGACCTGGAAACTATTCCAAGTAATGTCCTTTTCTTAGGCTGACCACATACACACAAATAGTAGCCTTGAAAGAGTTGATGAGTAATTTTAGACAGTGACACTGTAAATGAGTTTTCCACTCTATGGTGTCACTGTAATATCAGCACAATGTGCAAGGTGAGATACAGTTTAGGAACAAGGTTAGCTGGTGTTATGTAATATACAGTAGAACAGTCCTCAAATTCTGGGTTCAGTTAGAAACAAGTGGCTTTAAGCTTCAGATGATGTGCTTTTTATTGTGTTATATCGTGTGTTCTGTATGTGCGTGTTTGTAGAAGGTGAACGGCTGTCCTTTCATGACCAACGATGCCGGCTTTGCCTTGGCCTATGCTGTCATAATGCTCAACACTGACCAGCATAACCACAATGTCCGCAAGCAGAACATCCCCATGACTGCAGAGGTGAGTGATCTCTCTGTCTCTCTCTCTCTCTCTCTCTCTACACACACACACACACACACACACACACACACACACACACAAACACAAACACACAAACACAAACAGTGGAAATCTTTCCTACTGAATAATCAGTCCTAATTAAAACACTAGGCATCTGGGTTGTCTAAAGTTACCATGACATTTCCTCTGGAAAGAGACATCAGTGTTGAGTATCAGAATCCGAATCACTATTATTGGGCAGGTGTGTGTACACATACAAGTAATCTGACTCCGGTTTCATGTTGCTAAATAATAAAAAAAACAAATGAAATTCCCTCCCTGCATCAGATTAAAAACACGTAATTGACCTTTGTAAATATGGTAAAAAGAAATGGTGTTTTACAAATGTAAGTTTGCAGATTTAAACTGTATTCATACATCTATTTGGTGTCTCTCACTGGGACATGCCACTATTTGTGTCTGATGGTATGACATTCCTCTGGGAGTGCGAGCATTTGCACTGGTGCTGTTTGGCGGCTCAGAAAGCCCACAGCCAACAGCTGTAGCCAGTGGTGGTCCGTCTAAGAGGTGAACTCATCCTAAACAGGCAGCTAGGGGGTGGGGGAGTAGGTCGTGTGTGTGTGTGTGTGTGTGTGTGTGTGTGTGTGTGTGTGTGCGTGTGCATGGCTGTCTCTCTGTCTCTGTTTTCTCTGCCTTTGATTGACAGCAGAAGAAGACTAAACAGAGTCTCTGGGGCAGCCAGTGAACAGTTTGTGGGTGGGCCACTCTCACTGACAAACAATAGCAAGTACTTGCTTTCTGCTACACTCTCTTTTATGTACATTTGTAGAACTGATTCGACTCATACCTCATCATACAGCTGGTGTCATACAGTGTTTCAATGATCCTTATACATTCCCAAAAGGTCAGTTGCGGTTTGGTGAAGAAGGCCCGTTGACCTCCAGGCTCAGACAACAGACAGAGGCTTCCACACAATGGTTTTGGAGGGGGCCAATAAAAGTGGCGCCTAGCACTTCAGTTACTTAGCAGCTTGCAATGTGTAGTATTCACCACAGCATGTGTTGGCAGTGGGGTTATTTTTGAAATGGGAAAAGTATGCCCAGCATCAGTGTGTGTAAATCAGATCCTATTCCCAATGATCTGACAATGTGCTGACATGTTTTCAGTGACGTACAGGTAAGGTCAGAGGTCTAATGTTCATTTTGAGAGTAGCAAAAAAGTGTCTGGCCCCATTTCTTTTTTATTTGGACGATCATTTTGTCCATAAAATACACCGAACTGCTTGATTTGGCAGCTTGTGTGTTAGCAGCTGCTCTAAGTGCTGCTCTCTGACAGTGAGTGACTACACATGCAAGTGTGAGGCAGTGCGTGTCCCTGATATGATCATGACAAACAGAGCTTTCTCTGGCTCTCTCTGCCGCTGTTTATTTTCTGTGTCCCTGCAGAGGAGCTCCTGTTTCCCCTCTCCCTACCTGGCAGGAGGACAGACCCTGTCTAGTCGGGGCATAAAACCGAGCCTTGAGGCTGTCACTCATCGCAGGGTGGTTATGTTTATTTACAGGAGGATCTTGGCTCTAATCCCTGTTTTCTTAAAGCTGCAACTAAAGCGTATTAAATAACACATAACGAGTGTGTTTTCCGCACAAAGCCCTTTTTAATTGACTGTTGGATGCACTGTTAACGAAGCACTGAATGCCAGAGGCTTGGGTCTCTCTCTCTCTCTCTCTCTCTCTCTCTCTCTCTCTCTCTCTCTCTCTCTCTCTCCCTCTCTCTCTCCAACTGGTTGAGGTTTCTGCCTTTTAACAGGCAGTTTTTCCTTGCCCTTGTCGCCAAGGTCTTGTTCATGGTGGTACTGTTGGGTCTCTGTAAATAATGTTATAAGGAGTTCAGTCTAGACCTGCTTTATTTGAAAAGTGTCCTGAGATAACTTCTGTGATGAATTGGCGCTATACAAATAAAATTGAATTGAAATTTGAATTGAATTGAGCTAAGCTGCGTGCTGAGATGCACTGACTGATGTTTATGGTGGAGAAATGATTCTCCAATTTGAATGAGGTTTTCAATATAGGTTAAATAAAGGTTCATTATTCAACAGCTAAACTGTTTTTTTCCTTAAACAGCAATTCAAGAAAAATCTGAAAGGAGTAAATGGAAACAAAGACTTTGAACAGGACATGTTGGAGGATATCTACACTGCTATCAAGTAAGCTGCCATCACACTGCAGCACTCACCTGATGGACTTAAGCCAGCATCTCTGATTAAGCTGAGAAAACTATACTTATAGATGATACACAGCTGCACTCACTCATAATAGAGCTCAACTAATATGGGATTTTTGAGACCTGATTATCTGAGATACTTATTTTAGATGGAGAAATTAACCTATAACCAATATGGCCGCCGAATATTTGAGCTGGAATAAAAATAGAGCTTTCTATGTGTATTGTGCACTGATATGACTCTGCAAGGGTACTCAGAAGGCTGCTATCTTAGTAAATATTTAATAACTATATTAAAATATATTTAAGTTACATATATCTTTAACATGTCCACTAACAAACTGCAGTGTATTATCGAAAAAAAAAAAAAACAGCTTTCATATCGGCACATAATGGACAACATATACGCCAATAAGATACTGATATATCGGTCGGGCTCTAATTCATAATCTTGTTTATTTATTCTTTTATCAGATTATTCCCCATTCAAACTTTAGCCAATTTTAAACAGTTTCATCAAGTCAAGGCAAGTTCCTTTATGGCTGCTTGTATTTAGACAACATTTAGCATTTGAATTTATCTTGTTTAATAAAAAATAATGAAATTTAAAAAAGTAGTAAAAACATGTTTAGATTCCTTAATATAAGGCATAAAAAAGTATTTCTATGATATGGGCACCAAAACTCAGCAGTCATATCAGCAGTAGTATCAGAAAAATAATGAATTCATAAGCTTTAACGTTTAACGTTTCTTCCTCTGTAGGAGCGAGGAGATTGTGATGCCAGACGAACAGACAGGATTGGTAAAGGAGAACTACGTATGGAGTGTGTTGCTACACCGTGGTGCCACACCCGAGGGCATTTTCCTCCACTTGCCAGCCGGCAGCTTTGACCACGATTTGTTCAGCATGACCTGGGGTCCCACCATCGCTGCCCTCTCTTACGTCTTTGACAAGAGCCTGGACGACAACATCATCCAGAAGGCCATCACTGGCTTCAGGTACGCAGTTTCAAAATAGTCAGCAGCTAAAATGGTGGTACTTTAACAAAGGATTTAAGCTTACTGCCATACAGTGTGAAACAACCTTCACATCTTTTCTTGCTTTATTGTTCTGCAACAAAACCTCCCCAAACACTAAAGTTATGTATTTGCTGCTGTAGCTCACCGTTCCAGCCCACAACTTCTACTTTGCTCATTGTGCTGTTGGCCAGACACAAGATGCATTTGCATCTGACAAGCATAATTTCAAACAGCTGCACACTAATTCATTGACAAATACTGTATTTCACTGTATCAGACTTTTCCGTAAAAAATTCTGATAAAATGAACACAGCACTCCCTAGGCTGTGATAGGTCTCAACTTTGTAACATTTCTACTCAGGCGTCCACAACAATCTCTGCAGTTGTGAAAATATGAATAATTGTATATTCGCAATGGGTGGGGGTGAGTTGTGTCATTTAAATCACTCTGCTTCATTTGCTGATTGGTCTGAGAACTGAGGTTCTGAGATTTAGGTCAGGTGAAATGGAATGAAATTCATCTACCTATATTCAACAGTACACAAGACCTTTAACTCTGAAATCCTCAGGAATGCAATTCCTCGTGTTTTTAGGTGTTTTGTAAGGTTTTAAGGTGTATAGTCACACATTTGTTTCTGTCTCTGCAGGAAATGTGCAATGATAGCAGCTCACTATGGTTTCAGTGACGTTTTCGACAATTTGATCATCTCCCTCTGCAAGTTCACCACTCTGAGCAGTGAGGTGAGTCCACAGCATACTAAAGTGGTCCAGTGTGTCCTACCACTATAGAGCATCAGTATCAAACTTCCGTTTGCAGTTAAAGCTGACACTTTTCCACATATGAACATATCCCAGTGAAATGTTATTAAAGACAGGATCCTGTTCTGAACTACACAAAGAGATATTAGCAAACATTGTTTACTGCCCAAGATTAGAATAATTAATTGATTTCATTATAATTTGAGTTGACTCTTACTTTGTGGCTCAACTTCACAGATGAGACTTTGAAAGAGCGAGCTATAGTAAGAAACATGGTTCCTTTCTCTTATTTTGCTTTAAGTTTTTTTTATTAAACTTAAAATAAAAAACAAATGCACATCATACCTCCTTCTACTTTAAACCTGATCCCCAGGTTAGTGGAGCTCAGACTACTATCACAAAACAACATACTCAGGTTGCAAATTTAAGCCCTTCATTAATTGATTATTGGTAACATCAACAATGAATGAATGAATTAATCATAATTAAAAGTTAGTTGCATCAGGGCGCCTGGTTAGCTCAGTGGGTAGAGCTGGCGACCCATGTACTGAGGCTGAGTCCTTGCTGCAGCGGCCCAGGGTTCGAATCCGATCTGCCCTTTGCTGCAGGTCATCCCCACTCTCTCTCTCTGCCCCCCTTTCCTGTCTGTCTTCAGCTGTCCTATCAAATAAACGCAGTAAAAGCCAAAAAAAATACTTTAAGTTAGTTGCATCAAAACAGTACTATATGCGTTTTTTCACCAATCAAAGCTTTATTTACACAGCAACATATTGCATATTCCCCTTCAGCACTTCATAGTCTATGAAACATACAAAGACCTAAACATAACCCAGTACAAAGGCTGAGTCCTTGCGGCAGCAGCCATGGATTTGAATTCTCCCAGTGGCCCTTTGCTGCGTGTCATCCCCTTTCTCTATCCCTCTAGTTTATCTTCAGCTGTCACTATCCAATAAAGGGAAAAGGCTCCAAAAACAATCTGAAAAAAAATACATATAATTACAAGAAAGATGCTCAGAAACAACCAAATGTAACACTGCATCAGAAAACCACAAACTAACAAATGTCTCATCCTACTGATAGCTAGAATGTAATAGGGGACTACATGTTGTTTATATTTCAGATATTCATTTGATAGTCGATAGTCGATCACTTGTTCAATCAAATTCTAAAAGACAGATTCATCAATTATCTATTCATCATTGTCGTCCCCACAATATATTGTAGAAATATACAACACAGCACATATACATAGATCCACATCTACATGCATGCAACACCAGTACACATATTAACAACAAAAAGCAATGCACAAAGCAGACATTGCTTGTACCACTGGCTCTGTTGGCTGTGAATTTTTATGTGGACGTGAGATTGTCATACATTTTCTTGAAATTCAAAGTGCAATATCAGTATGTATATGTTTTGGAACCTCTGCTTATGCCAAGCAGACACAGGTGAGGTGAAAAATATAAAAGTGTAAATACAAATATACTGTATTGATTACGAAGTTCCAAAAACACACTGCAGGGCCACAGAATATGACAAAACCATAAATTATACAAAATACAAGGCCAGCTTCTAATAGAAAAAGGATAATTTTTAGTCTTTTGTTATAGTGAAATAGAAATATGTTGTTGCATGGCAAAAGAAAATGTTAATTTGTCCCTTATTAATTGATCAGTAATTTACAAAATGCTGCATGTAATGATAGATCAGTGTTTAATGCCTTTTTAGTTGGCCAAAAAGGTGTACAAAAAAGCTGAAGAAACCAAATTTATAACACACAAATTAAGATAAGATGGACTTTTTTGATGCTACACTGGGGAAATGTACTCACTACAGCAGCTCCAGATACAACACAAACACAATAGATAAGAAAATACATAGTAAATTATAAATAGAAAGAAAAATATAAGATACCTAAAAAAATAGGAGTTACATGTACACTATATACAGCCTTTTATATACAGATGTAACAGAAGGAAATTTCCCTCCGGGGAAAATAAAGACTATCTAATGCCTACTGTAAATGAGTGAACGTAATGATGTGGTGGATGTAAACAAAATCCTGTCCTGTAACTAAAAGATTAAAAATGGTATCAGTATGAATATAGTAACTGTGTTTGATGGACTTTGCCATCACTGTGTGAATGTGTGTGAAAGGGTGAATGTGGCACGTAATGTAAAAACGCTTTGAGTTGTCGGAAGACTAGAAAGGCGCTATACAAGTACAGGTCCATTACCATTTACCATTCTCTCTCCCTGCAGGCTGTGGAAAACCTTCCTACAGTGTTTGGCAGCAACAGTAAGGCACAGACAGCGGCCAAGACAGTGTTTGACCTCGCCCATCGGCATGGCAACATCCTTAGGGAGGGCTGGAAGAACATCATGGACTCCATGCTGCAGCTGTTCAGAGCCGAGCTCCTGCCCAAAGCCATGGTTGAGGTCAGGACTCCATTTCTAAACTGCACACACTCTTTTCTATTCTGTGAGTGATTGGATGATATCTGCTTTGTTATGAGGCTGCACATACAGTCTGTGGGTTGTGCTTTCTGTTTGAAAGAAAGAGACTGCATTCTGCATGTTCTGCTGCCACCTAATGTCCAAACTCTGTGCTTGTTTCCTCAGGTAGAGGATTTTGTGGAGCCAAATGGAAAGATTTCTCTTCAAAGAGAGGAAACGCCTTCAAATCGGTGTGCACAAAGCTAATCATTCTGAAGTGCTTTTTAATTCCTAAAAGAAGAAACCAGCTTTCTATATAATAAGCAGAAATGTATTTCATAAAACAATCCTTAAATTTCCCTCTTCTGTCGCACGGCAGTGGTGAGTCGGCAGTATTGAGTTTTGTCAATTGGTTGACGTTGAGTGGAGCGGAGCAGTCTGGACTCAGAGGACCGTCCACAGAAAACCAGGAGGCCAAGCAGGCCGCCATCCTCTGCATTAAGGTAAAGTTATGATTAATTATTTATGAGAAAACATTTATCCGGGCGCCTGGTAGAGCTGACGCCCCATGTACCAAGGCCGAGTCCTGAAATATATATATATGAAAATATATATATATATATATTTCAGGACTCGGCCTGATATATATATATATATATATATATATATATATATATAAGAAACATTTATCTGTTATATCAAGCTATTCCCATCCTAAATAAGTTTCAGATTAAAGTCTGAAATACGGTAGGGTTGTGTATGAGCAAGAATCTGGTGATAAGATGCACATCGCGGTACAGGGCAAAAAAAACGGTTTTCATCACAGTCCCTGTAACATCCAACATCATAGCTCTCAGTTTATATTGAGGGCTATGATATATTTGAGCGGCTGTGGCTCAGAGGCAGAGCAGGTCGTCCGCTAATCAGAAGGTTGTTGGTTCGATCCCTGCCTCCTCCCGCCACATGTCGAAGTATCCTTGAGCAAGATACTGAACCCCGGAGTGTGAATGTGTATGAATGTTAGTTTCTGTTTGATGGACTTTGCCATCACTGTGTGAATGTGTGTGAAAGGGTGAATGTGGCATGTAGTGTAAAAGTGCTTTGTGTGGTCGGAAGACTAGAAAGGCGCTATACAAGTACAGGTCCATTTACCATATTTACATCACTTCTATCCAGCAGTTGGGGGTTTAAAAACAAAATCAATCCAATTTCACAAAACAAATATTTTTCTATATTTTCTTGCACCCCTGCTCAGCGGATGAATGGAAATACATTACAATTTACACTACCTTCATCATAGACACAATGACTAGGCCTCTCACAATAACTACTTTTGTTAGACGATATATTTTCCCAGAAATATTTGCAATGAACAATATTGTCATTTTAAGACCATTTTATTCCACTGATATAATGATGAGCACAATAATGCACCCATTCAAAGAGCAATAAACTGAGCTGAATGTGAATTTTTTTTTAAATATCCTATATAAATGAATCATAAATAAAAGTTAGAGTCATTCCTTCCACAGGTAATGTTAGGGATAACCCTGCTGCTTATTCTGGAAGACTGTTGGCTAAAATGTTGGTAACATTCTTAAACAGTAAGTCAATATTGTGACAGGCGATGAGACTGCTACTGGACAAGATTGTTCTTTCCAGGAAACTTTCATAGGAAATAATTACCTTATATTTTTCTATTTGCCTTTCCTTTCATGCATGTGAAAGCATGTGTAGTGAAGGCCTTTGTGGTTTAATTTAATGATTGCATTATTTGTACAATCCTTTCTCTTCTCTAAATATCCAAAGAAAAAGAATTCAAATAGAGGTTTATAACTTTCATCAGCTGTCAAAACTTGACTTTGCTTTGTTTCATTAGTTCTGTTATTACTTTGGGCTTAAAGATCTTAAGCTTGTTGAATCTTTTAAATTTGACTTCATAACATCTGTGTAGGTGCTTTGTATATGTTAAACCACTCGCCACCCTTTCAGATCTATTTGTGTAAAATGTGTCAACATGGCTGAGGTTTCTATTTCTCTCTTTCTAGCAATGTGACCCAGAAAAGCTGATCACAGAGAGTAAATTCCTACAGCTGGAGTCTCTGCAGGAGCTAATGAAGGTTATTATTATATTTACCAAGTTATAATTGTCTGGTGTTGATTTTAACTTCCTGCATAGAAGTATTTGCTTAAAGTGATTGTGGGCTAGTGTGGCATAAAGACAACAAACCCGACTCTCCTCTTAAGGCTTTGATATCAGTCACCCCAGATGAAGAGACTTATGATGAAGAGGATGCTGCGTTCTGCTTGGAGATGTTGCTGCGGATTGTTCTGGAGAACCGGTAGGAAGGAGAATCAATAGTACCTTCACAGCAAAGACATTTGTGTTGTCTTAGTTATTTTTAACAAAACATCTCTTCTTCTGTGTGTGTGTGTCTGTAGAGACCGTGTGGCATGTGTGTGGCAGACAGTGCGTGACCACCTTTACCATCTCTGCGTCCACACAAACGAGAGCTGCTTCCTGGTGGAGAGGGCCGTGGTGGGACTCCTTCGACTCGCAATCCGCCTGCTGCGGCGAGAAGACATTAGCTCTCAGGTACACCAAACACACACTGATGTACCTGGACACACACTGCAGCACAGTTAGTGTGATGTTACAGGCTGAGACAATCACCTGAGCTCAGCAAACTGTCCCACTGGTTACACTGAAAGGTCAGCTTCAACCAAATTGGTGTTGGTGCAAAGCCATGTGACTTATTGATGCCCTTGAGCAGCACAGTGACTTGAAGTGAATGTCCACTTAACTTCTATGAGGTTCACTTGCCCATAGATGTTACATTAGAGCACCAGTATCTTATACCAAAACAATAGGCTCCATTGACAAAAACATTTATTTTACCTAGCAGTTAAACACACTTCAAACTAAATAAAACTCACCAAAACAGTCTTGTTAGTCTTCCCACTGTTCTAATAATTACCAACTTTGGTTTGGTGGAAATAAATCCTTAATTCAGACGTAGATGATAAAAACAGCAGTTTCAGTCGCTCTACTCAGCTGCACACGGAGCAGACCGGCTGTGGAAACAAACCACAGAGAGGCTGCGATAGCAACACAGGCAGAGGGAGTGTGACACCATGACTCTACTATATCTTTACATAGAGAATAGATTATTTGCTGCTCTATTAATGTCATATATAACCTTGAAAATGTTTTAAATGTAAATCATGCAGCCTTTGCAGCTGAGGACGTGGGCCTGTGTTTGATTCGTGGCTGTTTCATTGGATTTTATCAGCATACTTTCAGCATATATTTATGTCAAAAGTCTAATGAATCTAATGAAATTTCAGACCTTGAGCCAAGCCTTCTTGATCAAGCCTTTGCACTGATTAGTTCCCCTCTCCCACTCTTATATTAATCAGGAGAACTGCAATGTCATAGCTCACTCATTGGTGAACCTGGCACTGTGCTTTTGTCAACAAAATGGAGCATTATGTTCAATATGCTAGCCAATGAGGGATTCTTAGGATAGAGTAATTCTGGCTACTAAAAAGACTAACAAACTCAAGTATGAAGCTATATTTTAGCAAATTATTAGTGTATGGAGCATGCTAAGCCTTCAGATGGACTGTGGAGAAGTTAGCAAGGCAGAGGAGTTGCTACCGCCCTCTGTGAAGCTACAGTACAAACTTTATAAAGCCATCCTTCAAGTCTACTTGAGTGCTTGATCAATGAGGGAAACATGTTCCTTCATTTCCATGAGAACACACGCTGTAGTTTATTTTGACAGGGACTAAGCATACTGGTTTTTGTTTTTTTTCTGTGATTTGTTGACACATTAAACAAATATGCAATAATAAAACCGTTTTTTTCTTCTGACATGACAAATTGAATTTAACATTTTTTACCAGGGTCATAAAGCTAATCTTACATTCAGCCATTGAAGTTGGGGGGTCACTGACAACAGGGATGAGTCATGTTATCATATTAACTTTGATGACCTACAGTACACTAAAGTAAGACTTTCAAAGGTAATAATTATATCACTGGACTGCACTAGATGTTGATGTTTTGTGTGCACTCTACTTTTACAATTGGAACACTGTCTGAACACTAATATGCTGAAAACTCCTCCATTGTGTCTAAACAAAGACTTTACGAGATGTGTACTGATAAGCAGGTAATTTAATGCTGACCTGACCTCATATTAAGAGCCTGGCCTACATTTAAAGCCATAATCTAATACTCCGCATCAACATCTCAGCATTGTTTTTGCTTCATGTTTGGTTGCATGTAAAAAGCAGTTTGAACTCTTAATATAACATAATCACACTAGCCTATTTTTACAAATTATGTGACAGTGGACAGAAAGGAATATTAAAGATGCATGTTTCTACATATGTTAATGGGAGCAGCAGAAATCGTCCACACCAATGTATAAGCATCTTTCTCACTTTTTTATAAACGAATTTCAGATGGATTTTTTTAGAATACATTTTCACTCAGGGGAGTAATTGTAATGTTTCTAACCATGACTGTGATAGTAAAGGAAAAAACAGAGAGAAAACAGTAGGAAATGTGAATAAAATTGCTTGAATTTAATAGATCATTCACTACTTTTTAGGTCAAACAAGCACTCCAGCCAACCAGCCAGCAACACAACTTGTCCACAAATCAGGTCTTTTATATTAATCATGGTAAAACAAAATTAGATCAAAGTAAACAGAAATGGTATATCTTCCTGATTATATCTTGGTAATATAACTGAAGACTACTACTATTTTTGCTTTTTCCAGTGTGTTTGGGTACATCATTTTGTTCAAATCTACCAAAGGGAAGGTAGAATTGAAGGAGATCACCACACTTGTACTCCAGGCCTGATCTTTCTCTCTCCCTGTGCACCCACAGGTTCTCCTCTCCCTGCGTCTCCTGCTGATGATGAAACCTCATGTCTTGTCCCGGGTCAGCAGGGAGGTGGCCTACGGCCTTCACGAACTGCTGAAGACTAATGCGGCCAACATCCACTGTACAGACGACTGGTACACACTCTTCTCCCTGCTGGAGTGCATTGGGGCTGGAGTGAAACCTCCCGCCTCCTTCCAGATCGCCACCACCGCCACTGACAACGACACAGGTTCAGTGTTTCTCTCATCAGCACCTTGTGATTCCAAAATAACACATGGTTTGAAACCGCTGTTGTAAAACCTCCACAACCAGTGTTGAAATGAATATATTTGTCCTCTAGATTTAAAGCAAATTCGCTTCAATAGGGTTGCTTCTAAGATATGATGAAATGATGAAACTTGAAATATTGAGGTTACTCGGAATGATAAACAGACCTATGACTGCCAATATTTCTCAGATAAAAACAGTGAGTTCTGTGGATAATCCACAGTAACTGGGACATTTCTCTGTCGCTACCATTGAGGACTCTAATATGGTGTATTAGCCACTTGGGGGAAGTGTACACAGTTTATATTTGACCACTTTCACTCTGCAAGCAAGATAATAAAATCTACAAAAAATATTATATACATTGACTAACTAACTAAATCAAGATCTTAAAAGGTCATAACAATTGATTGAATTAATAAAATAACATAACTTGTATAAAGTTGCATTTTTTAGTTTCACTTTTAAACAGAAACATTTGTTTTTATCATGCTACAAAACGAAACCTGCATGGAACAAATAGCAGTTTTCCTTCATAGCCTTGCTATGAAGTGCTTGTCATCCATCAAAACAGCAAAATGCTCTCTTGGTTTCTCTGAAGGACATTTCTACTGGCTGTTTCTGTGTAAAGCCAACTGCAAATAGGGTTGAGTCTCCCTCTCATGTCTTTTGTCTTTTACAAAACACACCTGCATGTATGCATATCACATTTGATAGACATGTTGTTGTCAGAAAAATAAATTCTCAAGTAAAGAACAAACTACAGTAACAAAGTATTTGTACTTTGTTACCTCCCACCTCTGATAGAAAGTAAAGAGTTGATTAGTCATCAAACAATAACTAGTTGAAGAACAAACTAAATGCAAGTGATATTTTGAAGTGAGTTTTCATCCATTTTCTGTTACTCAGAGTAAACAGTGATATATAATGAATCCTAGTTATACAGAGCAGTCAAGCATGTGGAAAGTGTCAGAAAATGAAAAGTGATGACAGTGTATTTGTCTGCTTTGTGTCTCCAGGAGCTCAGTCAGATAGCGAGCTGTCACCTCATCATCCCAGTGAAGTGAGCGTGGACCGTGGCTACACATCCGACTCAGAGGTCTACACTGAGCACAGCAAGACCAGGATCCCTCGCTCCACAACAGACGTGGATGTAGCAAGCAGTGGATGGCTCGTGGTCAGCACACACACACACACACACACACACACACACACGCACGTACAACCTCACATGTGTACAGAATAGCTGCATGATGGGGAGTGAACCTGTATATACTGTATATGCACACCCTCAAATTTGTCTAGTATCGCATATAAACTAATTTGGTTAAATTAAGATCTTTCTTTCCTGTTATTAAGAATATAAAATAAAGATTGCACTGAGGTCATATTCTGATGCTTATTTGTCTTCCTGTGGTTTGTATTTTCTGTCCAGGTGGGGAAAGACGACCTGGAGACGAGTAAGACCCTTCCAGTAAGCTCTAAAGGTCAGCTAAATCACCCACTGGTCAACCAGTACAGTCTGACACTGGGCCAGGACCTGGGCCAGCACGACACCAAGTCTCTCATCAAGTGTGTGGAAACGCTGTCTTTCATTGTCCGTGATGCCGCCCACGTTACCCCTGACAACTTTGAGCTGTGTGTCCGAGCTATACGAGTGTTTGTGGAGGCCAGCCTCAACGGAGGTGAGACACTGAAATACTTTTTACATTTCACAGGAGCTATTTAAAAGACTACTAAGTACTTAAAGGACTAAGATGAAGTGAAAATATATAGGCTAAATGGTTACATGAAATGACTCAAAGATGATGACAACTAGCTGTGTAGTGTGACATGACAGGTAGTTTGTGCTCTTATTTTGTAACCATGCCTTCCTTTTTTTTAAATGTCTCTTTTAGAAAAAGGGAGATAGTAAGCTGAATAACAGTAACATACAAACATAATCTGAACAGTTACAAAACTAAGAGATTAAAAGCATTCAAACAAAAACAAGACAAACAGAAAAAATACATGTAATAAATAAAAATAAATATTATAATTTACAATTTATAATTTATACAAAAGAAAAAAAAAAAAACAAATTTAAAGCAGACAGCCCCATACAGTAGATAGTATAGCCGTAATCTTGCATTTCTACAAAATGTGATAGTTGTCAGTGGCATATGGTAGTTATAACAGGCACCATTGTACGCTTTTATGACGGGCCCTAGTGCACAATATTTTCAAGTTATGAATCCCATGCCCACACAGGCATGGAAACACCTGGAAATTGATTAAAATTACCAAATATCCTGGAAATAATCAATGTTGTCCTAAAAAATTCTTAATTGTATTTTAGCCCCTCACTCAGATTGCCTCTGTATGACCAGATGCAAAGCAGCCATCTTTTCGGTGTAATTACACGTGCACCGAAAACATTTACTTTCTGTTAACTAAAATAAATTCTATTTGATTTTGAACTGTTGCGAGACCACAGCGGAAAAAAGGTCTGTGGCGAGAACATCAACTCACACCACAGGAGTGCTGAGGGTCCCATAAGCGCTGACCACCTATTGGTAAATTATGTGATATGACCGTTTGTGAGCAAGTGCTGTCCTGGACTGTCAAGAAAACTCCTGGAAAATGTATTTGAAACCCCATAGGCCTCGGTGCAACCACACTGCCTGTCTATATTTATGCCCCTGGTTACAAAGGTTTACATTACAAAGGTAATGGTATTCAGACCTTTGTATCTTCAACTTATTTTGCTAACCATGAAGTTACAATACTCACTGTCTACACAGGCATATTGGGCTCACTTTTTGTGTGATTTTTATGCACCAACGCACCAAGGCAAATTCCTTGTATGTGTAAAAACTTACTTGGCAATAAACCCGATTCTGATTCTGATTCACACGTGGTATACTTGAGTAAGCTGCGACCCAAAGAATTTTTTTATGCCTTAAGCCTATTACTTTCCATGTACATGCATCAACACTTGATTCAATTGAAAAGATATTGTGTACTTACAAAACTAACTAAAATAAAATATGAATATACAAGATATTTCTTGTTTTTGTAAATTTGGTCAAATTGCAAGAGGAGGCCTTGGTGCATATGTTTATTGAGACTTTGAGTCAGTGTGTTTATATTGTGATATCTATTCTAACCTTAAATCTTGGCCCTACAAATATGATATATATGTGATAATAAAAAAAACAAAAAACAGCACTGAAACTAATCATTAACTTTAAATAGTGAACTTAAACAAGCAAACCCATTCTGGAAACTAACTGAAACTAAACTGAATTAAAAACAAAAAACACAAAATACAAAATTATAAGAGCTCTGACGCTATCATCTTTACAGTAGTATTTTTTTATATTTACTGTGGTTTCCCCTTGTGATTCCAGACCAGACAACTCTGTGAGAAACACTGTTGTATGATGGAAATGTTGTAGCAGCAGCATGTAGAAACTTCTGATTCAAAGAAGAGTGATTTAATATCTACTTAACCTGTAAAGTCCACGGTGACAGATCCACTCCAGAGACATACAAATTATACACCCTGACAGGCTTTTAATAGCAACCATGTGCCTGCCTTCAGGCTGCTTTGGTTCTTGTCCTCCTTCATGTTTCCACCTCAGTCTCTTGCCCTACATTCTTCTCCCTCTTCCTCTTCCCGTCTCCACACTTTATCCTTCTTGTCATCTGCCCCTCAAACCTGCCCTTTTTCCATTCATCCCTCCTTGTGCTGTTTGTGATCTACAGTAATACAGGGATTAAAGTTGAGAAATGGCAGTGGTATACTTGTGCTTTTGCATAGCTGATGGCCTATTAATTTTCTCCTAGTGCTCTGGGCCATTGGATACATGCTGTCAACAGAGCTTTACACAGGCAAACAAAGCGATGGGTCGATCAAAGCGCTGGGCTGAGGATGGCGCTAATCTGTATGAGATACTAATAGAAAGTGCAAAACCTGCTATTACTCCATTGAGCTTTTGTGGTCTGACTTCATATATTTTTGTTAAAGGTGGTTTCAAGATAAATGGAACATTTTGGAAACGGTCCATAGATTTGTGGTTGTTTTGAGGATCAGGCCATCTTGGGTGTAATTAGTTCATGACAAGCTTTTTTGGCATGATAATGGAGCATACCACTTAACACAGGGGTGTGGGCAACAGTTGCATGCCAGTAAACATTTCTGAAGTGAGGTATAAACTGTGCAAAACAATGCATATTTCCTTATCTTTGTAAAAGTGAAACTGATGTTTGTGCCTTGATGTTTGTGCCTTGATGCAGCTATTGACGCCAGTGACTTATGACAGCAAATAAGCAAAGTCAAAAGTAGATAGTGCCCTCTGCTGTTTAAAGCTGCAGCAGGTCACTTTTATAAAAATAACTTTTTGTCATATTTGCTGAAACTTTCACTATATCCTGACAGTAGAACACAAGCCAGATAATCTGTGGAAAAATCAGGCTCCTCTGGCTCCTCCTAGTGCTCCTAATGGCATTTGCAAGAATCCACCGGGAACCGAAAACAACCAGTCAGAGCTGAGAAAGATAAAAAGACGCTTTTGGCTGGTGGATTCTTGCAAATTTGCTTTGATGCTCTGTGATGTAAATGAAAATGTAGATTCTCCAATTGGGCTTGATCTTGAACTGTCGGTGCAATAGCTTTCAAGAGGGCACGGGAAAAAAAATCAATACTCTCTCTACATTTAGTTTTAGATCCTAAATAAGATTTATTTTTAAATATAATTTGCGCAGGTTACCGCAACCATGACAAGAAGAAGAGCCACAAGTATGACTCCTCAAAGTCCCGGATGAGGAAGAAGGCAGGGGGAAGGGAGAAGGAGGGTGGAGGTGGCACGAGGAGAGGCAGCAGCCGGGCATCCAGCCAGCGTCCGTCCCGTTCCCATAGCGACGAAGAGGAGGACGAGGGTGTCCCGGCCAGCTACCACACGGTGTCATTACAGGTTAGTCAGGATGTAAGTACAACAGCACTCTTTACCCTTCTACCTTATGTTGATTTGAGCCCAGCCGTCCAAAAAAACATCTTGTTTTACCCACAAATGTCTCTTTTTCGGTGTAGTCCATGCAGTACTAATGATTAATTTAAAGTCATATAACCTCCCCGCTGTCCGTTCAGTGGCTGGGTTTACAGTGCTTTAAGAGGATTGTGAAATCAAAATGTTTTTGGGAAGAAATAGCTGCGGCTCCCAAAGGAATATCTAGGACGGGTGTAACTTTAATGAAAATGTGGCATAGTGAAGCTTTACCTACAGCTGTCTTGTTGAACAAAGTAACATTTAGAATCATGTCAGTATTTGAGCAGAACAGTACACCCCTCCTGATACTGTCCCAGTTGTCCTGTATTTCTGCTGTGGTGTTGGCTTGTGTGGGAATGTAAGGTCAAAGGATAATCCCAGTGTATTTCTATCCTTTTGCTGTTATTATTATCATCCAGAGTTTCCAACTGATCTCGTTGGCATCAAACTTTCCTTTTCCATGTCAGTGCTCTGTCCAAAGTTCAAAAATATACCTACCAACACTTAAATTACACTTAAACTCTTCAATTAACATGGTGTATAAACATCTGGCCTGTCCCACAGACACTGCTATCCTATAAAACATGCATCTTCTGATAATATACACAGAGCAAAAACTGTTGCAGCATTGTAAAGTATTTCAATGTTTTTTAAGTGACATGTTTTTTGGAAGAATTTCAAATGAACTGTACATTGAAAAGAACAGTTAAATATATATGTTTATCCTGGGCTTTCTTCTCACCTCCTAGAGTGGTACAAAGTGGGTGTATCCTTCCATTGAATACACCATTTAGAGTCTTAAACATTCAGTCACTGAGGTCACTGGTCCTTTAACCACAAATTGTTGTTTTTGCATTCTTGTTTGAGGACACATTTTATATAATGTGCTAATCAGTGAGCTTTTGAGGTGTTGGCAGGTGTTTTATTATCTTTGGACAGAGCCAGGCTAACAGTTTCACCTGCTTCCAGTCTTCATGCTAAGCTAGGCTAACCACGTCTAGCTTTGTAAACAGACATTAGAGTGGTATCAATCATCATCGTCTCATGCTCAAATAAAGCAAATAGGCATAATTCCTAAAATGTTGAGCCACTTCTAAACGTTGGATGCCCACTTGCAAAAAAATGTGCTCCTTATTATTTCATTTAGCCATTTCTGGGATGGCGGCAGGAAAAAATATTATTATTATCCTTTAATTTGTTTTGTAGGGAAACATGACAGTGCTGTGGATCCTTTGTTTTCCCTTTCTACACACACAAAGCTTTACTCCTTTTTATGAATACTATAATCTGGTTGAGAGGTAGTCTGTTCACTAACAGCATTAAATATACTCTCTCTGTCTTCCGCTAATAGAAATGAAACATCATCCCTCTCTTCAAATATGAAATTAATCTTGTGGAAGATGTTCAATAATTTTTTTAATACGTGATCAACATTTTCAAAGAGTGCTGTTTTCTAGTAATACATATGGAGAACTTCAGTAATTAGCTCCATGCTTGTTGCTAATAGTAAATGATTAAACTTCAAAATCCAGATATATTACCATACATATCCAGTATTCACGTGGCTTCACTGTGTCGTCATTCGACACTTGACATTTAGTCTCATACTGTAGATAGAAAGCCATACATCCTGTCCTTGTTAACATTGGTTCTGGTGTGTGTGTGATGGTGTAGCTCTTAGACTTGATGCACACACTGCACACCCGGGCTGCCAGCATCTACAGCTCCTGGGCGGAGGAGCAGCGCCATCTGGAGGCTGCAGGCAGGAAGATTGAAGCCGACTCCCAGACTCTGTGGACCAGCTGCTGGTGCCCGCTCCTACAAGGTAGGAGAGGGAGTCAATACAACATTCATTTCAATTCAATTCAATTTTATTTGTATAGTGCCAGTTCATAACAGAAGTTATCTCAGGACACTTTTCAAATAGAGCAGGTCTAGACCGAACTCTTTATAACATTATTTACAGAGACCCAACAGTACCACCATGAGCAAGCACTTGGCGACAAGGGCAAGGACAAAGGCGTCTCTTGTAAATTGTACATCTTTTTGAGATCATGGAGATATATAAAGATGGAGGACATGACAGCTCTCCAAAAGTGAAGCCAAACATCTCTATCGCCCCCTGGTGGCTGATTGCAGTATAGGTCATAAAGCCCATTGCCTCCATGTAAGCAGATAGGACATGGGACAAACTAAAAAACAAAAAGTACAAAAAGTATGCCGAATACATTTTCCCCCAAAGATGGTTTCTGTCAGTGTAGGTAGTCACGCTGATGTATGTTCAAGTGTTGGTTGAGACATACGTAACTTTTGAAGCTTTACTTTGGTGCTTTACTGGAGTGCATTATATTGAATTACACTGAATACAATACAATACAATACCAAAAATCTAATCATTTTTAAAATTAATAATACCAGAATAATGCTGGTTCACTTTAGTGGGACGCAGGGTTTCAGTAGGTTGCAACAGGTTACATTTTTTAAGACCATTATGAATGCAATTTCAAGACCTATTTTCTGTCCATACTGCCATAAATGTATGAAATATCTACAAAGAAATCTATATTGGTTCCATGCTGTTTTGTAGTTGTCACAGCATGATCAGTAAAAACACGTTTAATGCAAGACCGAGGAATGTAACTTTATACAAGTATTGTTCCCAGTTTGAAATTGTGTTGAATTACATTACACACCCTGATGATGAACTGTATTCTAGTGTTTAAAGCAGTTACCTTTCAGAGGTCACAATATCAAAAATTTAAGTCAAATTGGCTCGAAACCTCCTCCACAACGCTGCTGTTCTTGCAAATTGAACTTGTTAATATTTTACTGAGACCACTTAAATCACCTAATCCAAGGTCAAATATTTTAAACTGACACCTGACATGTCAGACACCACTGGTGTTTTTTTATGACCAGGGAAAAAAACACACTGAAATACTGTAAACTGTAAATGGTGAAAAACGCAAACCAAAATAAATTTGGCCCCCAAAAAGCATGATTGGCTTAAAGGGGATGGTAAATATAAAGGGCAAAGTTTCAGGTGTTCAGAGGCCATGATTCAGTACCGTTATTTGTGAGTGAAATGAGATAATCTGGCCACCCAGTCTTTGCTGCAGCGGCCCGGGTTCAAATCCAACCTGTGGCCCTTTGCTGCGTGTCATCCCCACTCTCTCGACCTCCTTTCCTATCACTCTTTAGCTGTCACTATCAATTAAAGGAAATAACCCCCCCCCAAAAAAAAGAAAGAGATAATGATATATCAGCTGATATTCATTTCTAAACATAAACACAACATAAAAGTTGTTCCTTCAGTTTGTTTTTTAAAGAATTGTGACAAAGATACGTACGGAGCAAGATATTTTAAAATTTTAAAATAAACTATTCAGTGCTCTCTGGTGGACATGCTATGTAGTTTTTAAATTATCTAAAAGATTCCTGTTTGTGTTATTTATCAGTCATTATGTACCCTACTGTATACCAGGTTTTAGCCATAATTGCTATTTATGAAACCTATTTTGAAGGGATCAAGAGAGATGAATAAAGATGCTTATTAAAACTGATAACTCCAGCATCTTTATCGCTGTCTTTCTCCTTTGAGTTCATCCCAGGTTCAATAACAGGGTTAAGGTCTCCATGAATTTCCACTAGGGCTCATGTCTAATATACCGTTGTCCACTCCAGGCATTGCTTGGCTGTGCTGTGATGCCAGGAGACAGGTTCGTATGCAGGCCCTCACCTACCTCCAGCGGGCACTGCTGGTCCATGATCTGCAGACACTAGACGCAACTGAGTGGGAATCCTGCTTCAACAAGGTAAGGAAGGAGAGGAGAAGCTACATGTCTGCACTTAATATCAATACCGCTGTCTGCTCTCAGAACTGTGTGTACATCTGTGTTCATTTTCAGACAGTTTTCACATATTAATGATCTTGCTGAAGTGTGTGTGTTTGTTTGCAGGTGCTTTTCCCCCTGCTAACTAAGCTGCTTGACAACATCAGCCCAGCAGATGTGGGCGGTATGGAGGAGACCAGAATGAGAGCCTGCACACTCTTATCAAAGGTTCAGAGCAACACACACAATGCTGCTCTCACTAACAACAGCCAGCAAATAAGCATATACAGCATATTAATCTCACAGTTTTTACATACGTATTGGATTTTGATGTTTTTAACAGATACCTTTTGGATTTGACCATAGACACATGAAAGACACATTCTTGCAGCTCTGTGCCAAGAAATGGTTGTGTTGCCTCTTTCAGTGATACATTTTACATTCCAATTAATTTAAGAAAACAATTTCAAACCAAAAGGATAATCTTTAAAATTAGCAGGAGGTTTTTATATTTTTTTCTCAATTTTCTTTCGATATGGAACAGTTTTTTGGCCCTTCACAGGGACTTTGCTTGTCAGTGAGCATGCTGTCCTTTTTTCTCCTATGCCTCACTGAGTCTATTATAATACTGTATCAAGTCCCTCAGTCTATCTTAGTAATTAAGGTGAAAAAACAAAACTGGCCAATAGGAATAATGGCCAAAACATTAAACCTCAACCAAAAAAAGGCATAATTTGTTGCTTTGCTGAATGTGGATGTTAAAAAATCTGTAGTGTGCCTGATGTTTGATTACTCTTCATCTGTCCAGGTTTTCCTCCAGCACCTCTCTCCACTGCTGTCCTTGCCTACCTTTGCTGCCCTCTGGCTCACCATTCTGGATTTCATGGACAAGTACATGCATGCAGGATCTAGCGACTTACTGGTGAGTGTTAATACCAATCTACAGTGTTATTAATAGTAGACAGAGCGTCTGTGAAGCCAACACAGAAGTATCTTAAACCTGCATTCTTTATAATGGTTACCAGAGGGCAGCTCCATGTGCTGCAAAAAAGAAGTCTCATAGTATTGAGTCTTATTTAGAAATGAGCCTGAGCTCAGTAAACAGTTTCCTAATGAGTTTCTGGTGTCAGTCTCTAGTTTCAGTCTTCTTCTATACAGCATGATGTTCATTTAGTAAATGATGGTCCCATTCAGAGTAAAATACTAACTTAATATCAAACTGTCAAACTAGGCAGTGCTGATCATGAAAGAAAAACAGCCTGTTAAAGCACAGAGGAACCTCTTCTCCCAAATAAAGGAGCGTTTCCTTCAAGTTAAAATGTAAAAATCTCAGACATGGAACATATTTTCTGACTATGCTGCTTCTGCGTTTGTATTTGTAGTTGGAGGCCATTCCTGAGTCTCTGAAGAACATGCTGCTGGTGATGGACACAGCAGGGATCTTCCACAGCGCCGACTCAAGGACAGGATTCTCAGATCTGTGGGAGATAACCTGGGAACGAATCGTCTGCTTCCTGCCTCACCTGAGGGAGGAGCTCTTCAAACAGACTGTCATAGCAGGTACGCAGCAGACACACAGGGATGTAGATTCTTATGAACAGCTCGATGTAATGTCATGACAATAATGTGCATATTAATTTGTTGTGGAACCAGGAGCATGACACTGTATCCTTTTTAGATCCAGTACCTAGTCCTCCAACAGAGCCCATGCAGCCAACACCCACAGCAGGCCGGCCTCCATCTCCTCAGGTGTCTCCACCACCTGCCCAGCCGCCCTCCCCAGTCCCAGTGACCCCTGCAGAGTCACAGACCCCCAGCAGGCCAGCATCGCCACAGGAGCCCCAGCCAGCCAGTGCCAACGGTAAGAACACTGAAGGCTTCCTGTCTCAATCTCTCAGTCACATCTCACAATGCCATAATGTTCTCATGTTGACACTGTGCCAGTATTCTCTATCTGTAAATCTTCCATGGCCAAAGATTATATTCTGTGATATCTGTCAGAGTGGAAAACCATCAAAAGTTATGTTGACACTAGTGTAAGAGTATGAAGAAATATTCTTCATCATTTAAGTCTACTTCAACTGCAGGTGAGATGATACCCAACATGCTGTTATCAGTCTGAACATTTCCAGTATTTCTTAATGGTCCCATTGAGCAAATATTGTGCTACTCATTTCTATGTCCATTTCATACATTTATGTGAAGATTTTTGGTGTGTACTAGTTTGCCTTGATTATAGTGATTAGTATTATAGTTGCCACCATATTTACGTCTTATATAAATGTGTATTATATAAATTAGATAAATGTTAATAAGAATGTTAATGTTCTGCGTTCCAGCCACCTATGTGTGGTGTTCAGGGTCCCCACACATCCTGGAAAAGCTGAAAATTAAGGGACTAGTTTTCCAGTTATGGACACACCTGGCAACGAGCCCTCACTTAGATCACCTATGTAATCCTGGAACTGACTTGCAGTGATCTTTCCAGCATTGAGTCTTTTTTTTCCAGAGCTGCAAGCGGAATTCTCTCATTTACAAGCATACAGCTATCAAATATCAAATATCTTGTAGCTGTGGTTGATATACATGCACAGTGATGTTTATTGTACGTGCAATGAACAATTTACTTTCTCTAGAAGATGAATTTTCTGTAATAAAATAAATTCTACTTGATTTGAACTGTCACTTATTGCCTGTGGCCAAATTAATGTAGTCCTTTTACTCAAACCCGCAGCTTATATATAATACAGTTTGTGAGCAAGTGTTCCTGGAAAATGATTTTGTGAAAAAGAGTGGGAACCCTGGGTGTTTCATTGGAGAATAGAAACATTTTTGACCCAAATGGACTTCTGGCAGAGAGCAATTTAATTAAGGCAGAGCAAGGACACCCTCGGATGGATTTGTTAGGTGTAGCCCTCATTACAACGAGGACAGCAGAACTTGGTGTCGCAGCTTGTTTTTACTTTAGTGTTGTATTTACTAAGACTGATGATGCAAATGGGCAAAGCTTCAGCTGAGTTAATTTGAACTGTTAATTAAGGCCTGCTGCTGGGAAGGTAAAGATCAATCAGTAAAGCAGTGCAGTCTCACACTGAGTATGAACAGTGTTATAAGAAACCACTGTTCTATTTCAGAGCTGCACTCACACACTCCTTACATTGAATTGAATTCAATTACATTTTATTTGTATAGCGCCAATTCATAACAGAAGTTATCTCAGGACACTTTTCAAATGAGCAGGTCTAGACCGAACTCTTTAAAACATTAATTATAGAGACCCAACAGTACCACCATGAGCAAGCACTTGGCGACAAGGGCAAGGAAAAACTGCCTGTTAAAAGGCAGAAACCTAGGACAGATCCTCCGGCTCTAGGTGGGTGGTCGTCTGTCTCGACCAGTTGGGGTGAGAGAGAGAGAGAGAGAGACAGAGAGAAGCAAGACAGACAGACAGACAGACAGTCAGGTGCACAGCAACAACAGTATTGGCAATGGCAATCTAGCTGGACCATGGCAGGAGGCTCCACCAGGATTGACAAGAACCTGCGAGACGAGAAAGCACAAGAACTCCGGGGAAGAAGTGAAGTTAGTAACATGCATTAATGGAACATGAATGAGTGCAGAAAGAGAGAGGAAGGGAGGAGCTCAGTGCACCATGGGAAATCCCCCGATAGTCTAGGCCTATAGCAGCATAACTAAGGGATGGTTCAGGACTCACCTGATCCAACCCTAACTATAAGCTTTATCAAAGAGGAATGTCTTAAGCCTACTCTTGAATGTGGTGAGGGTGTCTGCCTCCCGAACCACAACTGGAAGCTGGTTCCACAGGAGAGGAGCTTGGTAACTGAAGGCTCTGGCTCCTGTTCTACTTTTAGAGACTATAGGAAGTAGCCCAGCATTCAGAGAACGTCGTGTTCTAGAGGGGTAATAGGGTACTATGAGCTCTTTAAGATATGAAGGGGCCTGACCATGAAGAGCTTTATAGGTGAGGAGGAGGATTTTAAATTCTATTCTACATTTTACAGGGAGCCAATGCAGAGAAGCTAGTACAGGAGAGATGTGATCTCTTTTTCTAGTTCCTGTCAGTACTCGTGCTGCAGCGTTCTGAATTAATTGGAGCGTTTTAATGGACTTATTGGGGCAACCTGATAATAAAGAGTTGCAGTAATCCAGCCTTGAAGTAACAAATGCATGGATTAGTTTTTCTGCATCTGTCTGTGATAGGATGTGTCTAATTTTTCTAATATTACGTAAATGAAAGAAGGCGGTCCTAGAGGTCTGCTTTATGTGGGAGTTAAATGACAAATCCTGGTCAAAGATAACTCCAAGATTCCTGACAGTGGTGCTAGAGGCTTAATGCCATCTAGAGTAACTATATCTTTAGACAGTGAGTCTGTAAGGTTTTTGGGGCCAAGAACAAGAATTTCGGTTTTTTCTGAGTTTAACATCAGAAAATTGCAGTTCATCCAGGATTTTATGTCCTTAAGACATGTTTGTAATTTAGATAATTGATTAATTTCATCGGGCTTGATTGATAGATATAACTGCATATCATCTGCATAACAGTGAAAGTTAATGGAGTGATTCCTAATAATGTTGCCTAAAGGGAGCATATATAAAGTGAATAGTATTGGTCCAAGTACAGAACCTTGTGGAACTCCATGACTAACTGTAGTATTTATTGAAGATTCATCGTTAACATGTACAAACTGCGAGCGATCTGATAAATATGACTTAAACCAGCTTAGTGCGGTTCCTTTAATGCCAACTTGATGCTCAAGTCTCTGTAAAAGAATATTAGGGTCAATGGTGTCAAATGCAGCACTAAGATCTAATAATACAAGTACAGAGACAAGTCCATTGTCAGAAGCAATCAGAAGGTCATTATTAACTTTAACCAGAGCTGTCTCTGTGCTGTGATGAACTCTAAATCCCGACTGCAAAATCCTCAATTAAACAATTGTTATGTAAAAAGTCACACAACTCTTTGGCGACTACTTTCTCCAGAATCTTAGAGAGAAAGGGGAGGTTAGAAATCGGTCTATAGTTGGCTAAAACCCCTGGGTCAAGAGTGGGCTTTTTAAGAAGGGGTTTAATTACAGCTACTTTAAAGGACTGTGGTACATATCCTGATCATAAAGAAAGATTAATCATATCCAGTAAAGAAGTGCCAATTAAGGGAACAACTTCTTTAAGCAGCCTAGTAGGGATCTGGTCTAATAGACAGGTTGATGGCTTCGATGAAGAAATGATTGAAGTTAACTGATGAAGATCGATAGCAGAAAAACAGTCTAAATATATATCTAAGTTTACATTGGCAGAAGTCCCTGAACTTGGAGAGCCACTGATAACTGTTGATGGCAGTTGGTGATTAATTTTCTCTCTAATAGTAATAATTTTATTATAGAAGAAGCTCATGAAGTCATTGCTACTAAAGTTTATGGGGATATGTGGCTCAATAGAGCTGTGACTCTCTGTCAGCCTGGCTACAGTGCTGAAGAGGAACCTAGGGTTGTTCTTATTTTCTTCTATTAGTGCTGAGTAATAGGCTCCTCTGGCATTACGGAGGGCCTTTCTATACGTTTTAAGATTATCATGCCAAATTGAGCGATATTCTGATAATTTGGAAGAGCGCCATTTCCTTTCAGATTTCCTAGCTATTTGTTTTAACTGGCGGGTTTGGTGGTTATACCAAGGTGCTAGTCTGTTTATGTTTTAATAATTTCCTTTATATAGGAGCGATAGAGTCTAATGTTGATCGTAGTGAGCCTGCAGCACTATCGACAAGATTATCAATTTCAGAGGGAATAAAGTTGATATAGGACTCTGTTAAATTCAGACATGGCATTGAATTAAACACTGAAGGAATCTCCTCCTTAAATTTAGCTACAGCACTGTCAGATAGACATCTGCTGTAGGAAGTTTTGCCTAATGGCTTATAATCTAATAGTATGAATTCAAAAGTTATTAAATAATGGTCAGATAGGAAAGGATTATGTGGGAATATAATAAAATGTTCAATATCAATGCCATATGATAGAACAAGGTCAAGAGTGTGATTAAAACAATGAGTTGGTTTATTTACACTCTGACAGAAGCCAATTGAGTCTATTAATGAGATAAATGTGTTACTAAGGCTGTCATTGTTAACATCCACATGAATATTAAAATCACCTACAATAATTACTTTATCTGATTTAAGCACTAAACTTGATAAAAACTCTAAGAATTCAGATATAAAATCAGAGTACGGTCCAGGAGCGCGGTACACTATAACAAATAGAACTGGCTGCAGTGTTTTCCAGTTTGGGTGAGAAAGACTAAGAACAAGGCTTTCAAATGAATTATAATTTAGTTTAGGTTTAGGGTCCATTAAAATGCTCGATTCATATATGGCTGCTACTCCACCTCCTCGAATGTGAGTATTAATATGACTTGGGGGGGTGGATTCATTTAGGCTAACAAGCTCCTCGTGGGACAACCAGGTCTCAGTAAGACAAAGTAAATCAATATCATAATCTGATATTAATTCATTCACTAAAACAGCTTTAGAGGACAGAGACCTGATATTTAACAGCCCACATTTCATTCTCTTATTTTGTGCTACTGAGGAGTTGGTTTTAGTTTTTATTAGGTTTTTATGTTGAACTCCTCTTGTTTTTATTTCTTTAAATAATTTAGGTGGTCGGGGGACAGACACAGTCTCTATGGGGTTTTGGGTGGGTGACTGTTCTAAAGAAAGCGCAGAGAAGTGTGTAAGACAGCAGCTCTGCTTCCTGGTCCTAACTCTGGACTGTCAGGTTTTAGAAATAAACTTCGCCATGTTGCTAGATAAGAGAGCTGCTCCATCCAAAGTGGGATGGATGCCGTCTCTCCTAATCAGACCAGGTTTTCCCCAAAAAGGCTTCCAGTTATCAATGAAGCCCACATCGTTTGCTGGACACCACCTCGACAGCCAGCGGTGGAATGACGACATGCGGCTATACATGTCATCACTGGTCACATTGGGCAGGGGGAGAAAACTACGGAGTCCGACATAGTTTTGGCATAATTACACACCGACTCCACATTAATCTTAGTGACCTCCAATTGGCGTAATCGGGTGTCATTACCGCCGACGTGGATAACAATCTTACCATATTTACGTTTATCTTTAGCCAGCAGTTTTAAATAGGATTCAATGTCGCCCGCTCTGGCCCCAGGGATACATTTAACTATACATTGCATATACAATATCGAAACTGAGTAGTTTCTCGTAAACTAAAGGTCCACTTCTTAGCTGTTTTTGCTTTTGACCACATCTGGTTGTTGAGCAACAATACTGACACAACCAGAGTCTAGTTATTGATCTTCGTAGAGTTGCACTTACAGAACATGAACATGTCTCCACTAAAAATGAAGAGTAAAAACAAGTGTAGCAGTGACATTCACAAGCACAACAGCTGATTGCATTTAGCCATCTGACCCACAGATAACATTTTTTAAATATATTCCCAGAACTTTCTCAGTGATATTTAATGAAAGCCCTTTCTTTAATATCCCTTGGATCAGTTAATAATGACTAACAACTATATTTAGTATGTCATGGAAATTAAGTTAAAAAAACAAAAACAACTTTATTTTTGTTAGAAACACACAATATGTTTTCATGACACATGACAAAGCTGTCATTTCATATATTTATCGTACCTTAATTAGTAGACAAAGGCAAGTTTAACATTCATTTGACGTATTAAATATCAGATTTACCCTGGATCAAAGCGAAATTTTGAAGTTCTGAATCCAGTGGTACCAAGCATTTGATATAACTTCTGTATCATACTATATTTAGTTATAAGGCTCTATGGATTACTCATTTTATTTTATACAGATAGATGTAAAGGAAATTATAAAATTAATTGAAAAGTTTGCTAGTGTGAATAGGTTTTCCTTACAGCAGTTTGATAAATATGCTCCCAGCTTTCTGTGCTACTGTCCCCTTATAAAAGTGAACCGTTACTGATATTGTCTCTATCTGTGTTTTCTAGGATCAGACCGATCATCTCCGGTCCCACCCTCGGTTCCCCCCATGCCGGTGCCGTTAACCACGTCCCCTGCCCAGGGTCCTTCACCCTTGAGCCAGTCCCCTCTCATCCTGCAGCCCCTCGCCTCTCCCCTGCAGGTGGGAGTCCCGCCCATGTCCCTGCCAATCATCCTGAACCCCGCCCTCATCGAAGCCACGTCCCCCGTGCCTCTGCTCCCCAGTCCCAGACCTACAAGCCCTTCTAACGAGGTCAAGTAAGAGAACTTGAGCCACCCTACACCCACTCTGCCCCCCCCTTAACAACTGGAACCAACAGACTCCAAGATCTGCTTGTCAGCAGGTTTTTGAAATGATGTAATATTTACGAGAAGACAAATTAAATTTCAGCCTCAGTTATACCACATTTGATTTAAAGGAAAAATCCCCCGAAATATCTGACACTGTTAAAGAAACATTCTTTGTGTCAATTTGTGTTTAATATGTTCTTATTCCTGTGGAGACATCATATCTCAGGAGCAGGAAACGCACTAAGAAAACTATTAAAAATAAAAGTCTGATTGAAGTAAAGTGAGTTTGCCAGGACTGTAGCTGCCAACACTGAGGTCCTGTTCTCACTGTTTTGGAGGGAATTTGGCTGTTTTGGTACCCAGGGGAAAGTTTATGTTATTTTACATATTTGGAGTATTTTACATACTGATTCCAGTATTTTTAACCCTAATGCATTATATACATATATTTTAGACCGATACAATACAATAGAAAAAAGTCAGATTCAGCATTTCCCCACCACAGTTTTATTATTGGGAGTGTAAGCTTTCAATGATAGGGCTGGGTTTATTCTATATTTTTCTCATTGTCTTAAAATCTCATGAAGACCCCAACCAACAAAGTGTTAGTCCATCTCGCAATATTTTGGACTTCCCTACCCTGCTCCAAGCCCACTGGTTCCTGTTGAAGAGTCAAGTCTTTGAAAACGGACCACAAATATTTAGTTACATTTTTTAAAGGCTCAATAATTTCCTAAAACACCTGCTCACTGTAGTTTTTAATAAATCTTACACAAACTGGAGTAAATAGTGCATTTGATGGGGACTATTTTCAGATAAGCAGAAAATAGTCAGTAAAAGAAAAAAGTAAAAAAATAGATTTGCAGATTAAATCATATTTGTTGTCATATTTGGGGCAGCAGGACCATGTACGTGGGATAGAGTCAAAATAGTTTTTGAACAACAATGGAGCTATACGACACAAAATCCATCGTGTTAGTTTGAGTCTGAACTGAGGATTTATTGGTAGTGAGAAAAATTTAAGATATCGTCTGCTTTTGGAGACTTGGTCTGATGAAATCAGTGTGCTTTAAAGCTTCAGTAGGTAACTTGTATAAGAATAACTTTTTGTCATATTAGCTAAAACTTTCACTATATCCTGACAGTAGAACATGAGACAGAACATCTGTGAAACAATCAGGTTCCTCTGGCTCCTCCTAGTGCTCCTAATGACAATTGCAAGAATCCACCAGGCCTTTATGAAAACAACCAATCAGAGCAGAGAAAGATAGAAAGACACTTTTGGCTTGGAGGTTTGAAGATAGTGGAATCTCATTTCCAGCAGTATTGGACAACATGGAAATGAGACTCAACTATCTTTCTGGGCTCTGATTGGTTGTTTTTGTCCAGACCCGGTGGATTGCAAATGAATGAATGATTTGTTCACAGATTATCTGTCTCGTGTTCTACTGTCAGGATATAGTGAAAGTTTCAGCAAATATGACAAAAAGTTATTTTTCATAAAAGCTACCTGCTGCAGCTTTATGATCTGGCTGATTTGAACACTTTCTCCCTAAAATCCCTCCTGAATTAAGCTTATATCACAGATGAAATATTTCTAACAGTAAGGGCGGAATGATTCCTAACATGATCGACATCAGGTTAATGTTTTAAGAATGATGGCTCTCATTAGCCTGATGTTGGACTTGAATAAAAATGTGGTATAAAAGATTTAGCAGGGTCACTCGCATGTGTGCTCATCAACCTTTTGGAAATCATTATGAAGGAGAAATAGGATACACTTTACACCCCCCCTCTCCCACTTCCTTAGATTGTAACTTGATAAGACCAGGCTGACCTCATGGCTTCATATTAATCTAGAGATTTCAGACAGGGACAGTAAGTAAGTTATTTGTATTTTAGGTGCTGCATGTTGTTGATTAAATAGTATCTCCAGAGCTTTGACTCCAGTCGGATGTTCCAGAGGTCTTAACAGAGCTGTTATATCACACACCGCTGACTGACATCTGTACAGAACAACGACTTTATTTACACACCAGTCAGTTTTTGTTTGTTGGAGAGACACTGGCCTGTTCTGTTTGTTTCTACCCATTTCTTTTAAATTTAACATTAGCTTTTTGGCCCCAACAACTAAAAACAAGCTTTGATTATGGGCACCTTATGAATCCCCCCTCTCCTAAACAAAGAGGAGTGTGAAGCCTTTCTCAGATGGACCAGAGACGTCACATCTACGACATTCCAAAATGTAGATAGTGTAGCGGGCAGTTGGCTCGGCCACTGTGCGGATGAGTTAGAGATCCAAATAGTGACTTTTATGGTTTATGATAATAAATAATTTAAAGAGTTCTGTATTGATGTCATTTTATCATGTTTGTGCAGCTCAGTCGAGTACAGCAGTCCATACATGATTAACCCCCAGGGCCTGAGCAGCTCACTGTGTACTCATCACATCACTAGGAAATCTGTGGAAGCTCGTAACAGCAGAAACTTACTGCTACATTGAATCGTCACTGAAAACATGTTTAAATGCGGTTACCATTGAATTTATAGCACTAAAATATTTTACTTGAAAACCATCTACATTTATGTATTTTTTTATCATTTTATTTCAAGTGGTGTAACTGTATTCTTCCAGTGGGACAGAGCACACACACATTTCATGGGACAAAATAATGAAATACATATATCATTCATATTATTTTGCTCAAATTTGACCTAAAAGTTCAAGTTAGCTAAAATTATACTTATTAAAGTTCTGTTCCATTTAGTGTAGCATAGCCTGTACAGTGAGCCAATGTGTACAATTGACCCTTCCTAAGTGACAATTGAGCAAGCCTCGGTAGGCAAAACATATATATGTATATATTTCTTAATAAGGTAGCTCATGGTAGTGAAACAATTGATGTGAATTAGCTTGCTAGTTAGCTACCATTTTGCTAACATTGGCTTTCAGATGCAAACAACTAGCTAACGATGGATGTAGCTCAGTTAGCTAGGTAGTGTTTTACACTTGCTAACTAGCTAGCTAACAACTGATGTAGATTAGCTAGCTAGCATTTTGCAAAGATTAGCCTGCTGAATAAAATGTGATCATATGTATGTTGCATTTATCTTTTAACCATCTTCAAAATGTGATTGTCTTTGAACATTGACGAGCCTAGCACATAGCATATCTAAGGAAAGTTGACCGGCGTTTGCTCAACTGTTATTGGAGCACAAGGGTCAATAGGCAGCACAATGACTGTTTGAACTGAATGGAACAGAACCCCAATTAGTAACACTGATAACGTCTGTGTTTACCCTACTATTTCATGTCAAAATGGCTGCTGTGAAAAGGGTCTATACAAAACGTATCATCTGGTAACCATGGTAACACAAGACGAGGGGTAAAGAGATGTTGAACTTGTGTCCCACTATTTTAGCAGTTCTTTAAAAACAAATGACAAACCCTCGTAACTCCTCCTCCTCCTCCTCCCATTTCTGTTTGACTCGTATCTTAAGGTCAGAATTTCAATGACTAAATTTCAGCAACTTGAATACAAAACTTAAAATCAGGCTTTTGATTTCCAAGGTAAAATATTCTAGTGCTATAAACCTAATGGTGTAAGTATTCAGATTTACATGTCCAGTTGCTGCAGTTTGCTTCCATAGAAACCTGCTGACATTCTTGCATGCTGATTGTGCCTTGTGTACAATGACATGGACCCTGACAAACTTCTAAGAGTCTAATTCACCGCTTTAATGCCAAATATGTGACCTAGAGTGTAATGTAGATGTGGACAGAAAGCTTAGCATCCATTCAGAGTGGCCCTGGGATCCTCTCAGTGATGTTTAATGTTATTTATTGAGTTGGGAAAGAAGAGACGGACTCCCCTGCTGCAGTACAGTCGACAGAGAATACAGTGTGTGTGTGTGTCAGTCAGGTAACACTACAGCCTTATAGAGCCACCAACATGAGACATTTTGTAAGCTGTGTGTTTATTTGTCGTATGGGACTCTTAATAAATATATCAGGAGCTGATTCTTGCTTGAACAGGAAATTACATGAATATAATGTGTATATATAAATGAAAGGTAAAGTACTTTTTACTATGTAATAAATATAATCTAAAGAAAGTGCTCATTCTGGTGTGTTGTGTTGTTTGTTTCTTATCTTACCGCAGATGGGCCTTTTCCACCTACAGGGAACTGGCCCCGTTCCAGTTTGCGCACCTAGTTTTGAACCGTTTCAAACATTTCAACCAAAAAGAAATTGGTTTGGAACCTGAAACGTTGGTTCTTGGCTGGAACCAAAGTCGGTGTGTCACATTGTAATCAACAGAGGGGGCATTTTTCTATTTTGTGCCTCGTCTCCTCTTCTCCTGCCTGTGACCTCAATCTCAGCGTGCCATCTTGAAGGACATCTCAATTCCTAAATTGCATCTGGAGGAGAGGGGAGGGAGGACGGACGAGGACTGCTAGAAGAGCTATCAGAGAGGTCTTTGCAATGTTGTCGGCGTTGTTACGGACACGTAGAATTGTTAAAATGCCATATTTCTTTAAGGGAGTTTGGCACAATAAATTCCCTGAAAGTACAGAACACAATGAAAACAGAACAAAACAAAATGAAACCAATATTTTTATATATAGTAGAGCAATAAACAGAGATTTATAGTGAAAGAGCAGCTTTATTGGTCATGACTGAAATAAAGTATGACATCCATAGACTACTTTCTTGTCACTTTATGCCACGTTGCCAACTGAATTGGAAGTAAATATGTAATAACTGTTCTGAACACTGTTATGCTCATCTGACAGAGATAATAATATACAGCTGTAGTCTGTAGGAAACCTATGGGCAGGTGATGCAGCTGTGCAGTTGTTGTGATGCAAGGACATCTCATTTTGTTAAATGCCTGTTGCCTCAACTCCTATGTCTCTCCTCTGTCCTTGCTTCTTCCGCTCACACCTCTGGTGGGAGGGACTAAGGTTAGAATAGGAAGTGCAAAGGATCCCCAGCTCCTCCTGCTGCATGTCAAAGTGTCCTTGAGCGAGATACAGAACCCCAAACCTCTCTTGATGCTGTCTATCCGTGTATGTCATGTAGTGTACATTTTGTTTGAACAAATGTTTTTATTGCATCACAGATAGGACATCTCCCTGTTCTATATACTATTTCCACACACCAGGTTTAACTTTTTTTGTGGGATACAACGAACAATCCTTCCGCCATGGTGACACACTTATGATTTTGGGATGACTGGAAAGATTTGCCCCCCCGCCCCAATATAATATATCAATATAAATCAGGAAATCAATATAGGACTGTATGCTGAAGAGCTAGACAGATTTTTCAAGTCGTGAGGATATTCACGATTATCACAATAATGGAAATTCACTGCAATATACTTATCTTAATAAAGTAATTGGTGGACATTGGATCATCTTTCATTAAATGTGAAATAAAATATTCATATACATACAGATACACATACAGAAATACACAGAAGAAGGAACTTAGTAAAGTAGGTAGACAGACAGATAGATTTCATTGGAACCGTTTTAGATATTGTATAAACTGTCACAAACATAAAACAACGAAATAACTTGCATAATAAAAATGTTGATCTGGAATCAAACACCATCTGCGTGTTGATCTTTATTTGGCTACAGCAGTTATTCATGTCAGTACTTATGCCATCCAGTGACAGCCATAAAATCAGCCATGATTTATTGCTGTTGATTATTTAATGTAAACTTCATTAACTACCAAGCACATGTGACTGAACAGAGCATTCGAGCTGATAAATGATTCTGACAGACTCCTTCATCAGGCCGATCAGACTGTATTTTCCCAGAGTCACAGCAGTGAAGAGTTGGGAAATTGATTATTTTGATTTGTTGGTTTGCTGATTTCAATTCAATTTTATTTGTATAGCGCCAATTCATAACAGAAGTTATCTCAGGACACTTTTCAAATAGAGCAGGTCTAGACCGAACTCTTTAAAACATTAATTACAGAGACCCAACAGTACCACCATGAGCAAGACCTTGGTGACGGTGGCAAAGAAAAACTTCACAGAAACCTAGGACAGACCCTTCGGCTCTAGGAGGGTGGTCGTCTGTCTCGACCAGTTGGGGTGAGAGAGAGAGAGACAGAGACATAGAGAGAACAGAGGCTACGACAGAAGGACAAAAACAGAGACAAAGGTGCACAGCAACAACAGTAGCAACAACTACACTAATAGTAGTGACTGATGATGAACGTGAAGAAGATGACGACGACGACGACAACAACGATGGGGGACAATGAGCAGTGATTATAGTAATAATAGTAACTGTAGTAATAATAATAATAACAATAATATCAGTGATATTAGCAATGGCAGTCAAGCAGGACCATGGCAGGAGGCTCCACCAGGATCCATGAGAACCTGCGAGACGAGAAAGCACAAGAACTCCGGGGAAGAAGTGGAGTTAGTAACATGCATTAATGGGACATGAATGAGTGCAGAAAGAGAGAGAGAGGAAGAGAGGAGCTCAGTGCATCATGGGAAATCCCCCGATAGTCTAGGCCTATAGCAGCATAACTAAGGGATGGTTCAGGACTCACCTGATCCAGCCCTAACTATAAGCTTTATCAAAGAGGAACGTCTTAAGCCTACTCTTGAATGTGGTGAGGGTGTCTGCCTCCCGAACCACAACTGGAAGCTGGTTCCACAGGAGAGGAGCTTGGTAACTGAAGGCTCTGGCTCCTGTTCTACTTTTAGAGACTATAGGAACCACAAGTAGCCCAGCATTCAGAGAACGTAGTGTTCTAGAGGGGTAATAGGGTACTATGAGCTCTTTAAGATATGAAGGGGCCTGACCATGAAGAGTTTTATAGGTGAGGAGGAGAATTTTAAATTCTATTCTACATTTTACAGGGAGCCAGTGCAGAGAAGCTAGTACAGGAGAGATTCAGTTCAGTTCAATTTAATTGTATTTGTATAGCGTCAATTCATAACAGAAGTTATCTCAAAACACTTTTCAAATAGAACAACTATTACTACTTTTTCAACTAGACCGAACTCCTTATAACATTATTTACAGTCACCCAACAGTACCAGATATGATCTCTTTTCCTAGTTCCCGTCAGTACTCGTGCTGCAGCGCTCTGAATTAATTGTAGTGTCTTAATGGACTTATTGGGGCAGCCTGATAATAAAGAGTTGCAGTAATCCAGCCTAGAAGTAACAAATGCATGGATTAGTTTTTCTAATTTTTTTTTAGTCTGTGATAGTATGTGTCTAATTTTTGTAATATTACGTAAATGAAAGAAGGCAGTCCTAGAGGTTTACTTTATGTGGGAATTAAATGACATGTCCTGATCAAAGATTCCTGACAGTGGTGCTAGAGGCCAAGGTAATGCCATCTAGAGTAACTATATCTTTAGACAGTGAGTCTCTAAGGTTTCTGGGGCCAAGTACAAGAATTTCGTTTTTTTAGCATCAGAAAATTGCAGCTCATCCAGGATTTTATGTCCTTAACACATGTTTGTAATTTAGATAATTGATTAATTTCATCGGGCTTGATCGACAGGTATAACTGGGTATCATCTGCATAGCAATGAAAGTTAATGGAGTGATTCCTAATAATATTGCCTAAGGGAAGCATATATAAAGTGAATAGAATTGGTCCAAGTACAGAACCTTGTGGAACTCCATGACTAACTTTAGTATTTATGGAGGATTCATCGTTAACGGGTACAAACTGAGAACACGGTTCCTTTGATGACAATTTGATGCTCAAGTCTCTGTAAAAGAATACTATGGTCAATGGTGTCAAATGCAGCACTAAGATCTAATAATACAAGTACAGAGACAAGTCCATTGTCGGAAGCAATCAAAAGTTCATTATTAACTTTAACCAGAGCTGTCTCTGTGCTGTGATGAACTCTAAATCCTGACTGAAAATCCTCAAATAAGCTATTGCTATGGCGACTACTGTCTCCAGAATCTTAGAGAGGAAGGGGAGGTTAGAAATCGGTCTAGAGTTGGCTAAAACCCCTGGGTCAAGAGTGGGCTTTTTAACAGCTACTTTAAAGGACTGTGGTACATATCCTGATAATAAAGAAAGATTGATCATATCCAGTAAAGAAGTGCTGATTACGGGGGGCCCGGTTAGCTCAGTCAGTAGAGCTGGAAACCCGTGTAGTGAGGCTGAGTCCTTGCTGCAGCGGCCCAGGTTTCAAATCCGACCTGCAGCCCTTTGCTGCGTGTCATCCCTACTCTCTCCACCCCCCTTTCCTGTCCATCTTCAGCTGTCCCTATCAAATAAAAAGGCAATAAAAAAGCCAAAATAATAATAATAATAACTTAAAGAAGTGCCAATTAAGAGTATGACTTCTTTAAGCAGCCTAGTTGGGATCGGGTCTAATAGACAGGTTGATGGCTTCGATGTAGAAATTATTGAAATTAGCTGATGAAGATCGATAGCAGAAAAACAGTCTAAATATCTGATTTTATATGTGTTACAGATCCTAAACTTGGAGAGACAGTGATACCTGTTGAAGGCATTTGGTTATTAATTTTGTCTCTAATAGTAATAATTTTATTATAAAAGAAGTCGTTACTACTACTGAGGGTTATGGGGAATATGTGGCTCAATAGAGCTGTGACTCTCTGTCAGCCTGGCTACAGTGCTGAAGAGGAACCTAGGGTTATTCTTATTTTCTTCTATTAGTGCTGAGTAATAGGCTCCTCTGGCATTACGGAGGGCCTTTCTATAGGTTTTGAGATTATCTTGCCAAATTGAGCAATATTCTAATAATGATTAATTAAAGAACTCACCTCCATCAGAGTAGGATTTTAAAGGCCCAGTGTGTAGGTTTTAGTGGTATCTGGTGGTGTATTAGCAGATTATGACCCCTTTGCCTCACCCTCCTGTTCTGGAGAAACTACAGTGGCCATAAAACACATGAAAAAAGGCCCTATCTACAGCCAGTGTCTGGTTTGTCTGTTCTGGGCTACTGTAGAAACATGGCAAACTCCACCAGAAGAGGGCCCGCTCCCTCTTTAGATAAAAAACAGCTCATTCTAAGGTAACAAAAACACAACCATTCTTATTTTCAGGTGATTAAACACTAATGAAAACATAGCTATGGATATTATATTTCTGACAATAGAGCCTCCTGAATGTTACACACTGGTGTCCTTTAAGGTATCATTATTGTATCTTTTAGAACACTGGGGCTCATTACCTAAAGCGACAGTGAACATGTCGCACTGACTCAGGACTGCTCTCAGACTGCGGAGCTGCTTTCAGCACTTAGGACTGATGCACCTCATTTTAAAGGTCTGTTATCCATATGTATTTCTGTTTTTCTTCTTGTCAACAACCCTCTTGTGCACATTCAAAACAACACTGAATTTATCTTCTAACAAGTACTGTGTGTATCAAAGCCCGATACACTACTTTCTTCCTGTATGCCATTGAGCACCATTGTTGCACTGGGTGACATGTAACTACAGTGTCCAGCTCTTTTAGGAAATTAGGGAGCCTTTTTAAACCATGAAACAATGTATTTGTGATTTGTATTTTTAAAGATTTATGTCTATATATGGAACCAATGGACTAAGAGCTGAGAGACACAGACAGAGAAGGGAAGTATGAAAGTAATTATAAATGAACATATTTTGACTCGGATAAATATAAGACTAAGACCATTTATCAATACCATTACCATTTACACCTTATCAGTCCAGTGTGTAACATTTAGGAGGATCTATTGTCAGAAATGGAATAGAATTTTCATAGCTATGTTTTCATTAGTGTATAATCACCTGAAAATAAGAATCACTGTGTTTTTGTTACCTTAGAATGAGCTGTTTTTATCTACAGAGGGAGCGGGTCCTCTTCTACGTCCACCATGTTGAACCACCATGTTGAACCACCATGTTTCGCCCTGAACAGACAAATCAAACAGTGGCTCTAGATAGGCTCTTTTGCCGTTCTCATTCCCAGGTCGTCAAATAGACAAAGAGACGCAAGCAGTGTTCAGTTAGTGGCAATCTGCAACTTCACTGCTAGATGCCACTCAATGCTTCACACTGGTCCTTTAAGAGTTTCTCCTAATTCGGCTCGCTGGGTTAGGGGTTACTTTTAGCCTTGGGATGTTTTGTACATATGCACTCTTTTGAAGAAATAATTTTTCAGGAATTTCTTGATAATACAGGACAGCATTTGTTCCCAGTGATATTTTACTGATAAGCCCTGTATTATTCCTTCTTTTTTAATGATGCAGGGTTCACAGTGAGGTGTCTGAGGTTCATTAAAGGTAGGTGGTCAGCGTTTGTAGGTTGGCTGTTCTCACCACTGCCAATTTTTCTACTGTTTCTCTGGCAAATTGACTAGTTTACTACAGTTGTCTTCTAACCTTGACATGAATTTGGCCACAGCCCTACAGTTCAAATTAAGTATAATTTATTTTATTTTACAGACATGTAATCTAGAAAATGAAAGTGTTGCATGTAAAATTAACATCACTGTGCATGTATTTATCAACAACAAATGTAAATTAGTATCAATAATAAGCTGTATGCATGTACATATGACATCTACATATTGTGCCTGTGGGATAGACTCAATGACCAAAAGATCGCAGCAGGTGTGCTCCACTCTGCTAAACTGACTGATACGGGAGCTGATAAGAAAAGGGAGTGTTTCCATCTTGTACTTTGAAGTGTCATACTGCAGTTTATCCTACCAACAGTCAACAGTTTCAAACAAAATACTCACCTAGGTTTATGTAATCTGAGTGAAGGGCTAAAACACAATTAAAATGTTCCAGGACAACACAGATCATTTCCAGGATATTTGCTCCTAGAGCTTTAATCAATTTCCAGGTTTTTCCATGACTGGAATGCTACTATCTAAATTTCCAGGCTTTCCAGGATGCGTGGGAACGCTGAGACATCATCTGTAACTTGTCCATCAAATGCTGGTATCCAGTCTGCTGTCAAATGTGCTCTTTAGTGATGTCTGCTTGACATTCAGTGTTTTTACTGTAACATTTGAGATTATTTTAAAACAATATCCTGAAAAATGAGACAAACATGTAAGTGTTGAAAGTGTGAGTGAATCTCTGGTGTAAAACATCTCCGTTTTTATTTCAAAGCAGAATGAGAACCACAGTTTTTTTTAGTAAACTAACTGTATCAGAAACTACAGAGGGCAGGAAAAAAACTGTTATATTTGTACATGGAATGTAAAAACATCATTGAAACAAGGAACCATAATGTCAAACTGTACGTATTTAAATGATCTAATCTATAAAGAATGCAATCTGTTGAAGGGACAGTGGAACAGAAACGTGAACAGCACTCCACTCACAAATATTGTTTTTTTTCCTCTTAACCGAGACAGATTCCACATCAAAACCCCTACTGCCGCATCGCCTATCTACACCGGCTGCAACGGACAACAGTTAGAAAAACAAACCCTAAAACCAGAATCCTCACTTGGCGTCCAGCTTGGCCATTTCCTGAAGGTATATTCCGATGCTCTCGCTGTCAAACAGAACAAAGTAAATGTTTTTCAGGGAGGAGCTGGTGGACGACACAAAATGGTTGGAGATGGCCTTGAGGATGAGCTGGGCGGCCGTTTGCTTCGGGAATCCGTTCCTGTGAGAGAGACTGAGCTTGTTACATGAATCTGTGCTGAGCAGCATATACATAACTGTTGATATTAATGCAGATGAGCCACAGCTAAAGGCAAACCATAACGATGTGAAATGTCACTGTAAATATGAATCTACACTTATCATCACCGTTAAAGAGAAATGCTTCTCACAGCTTCATGAGCTTGTTGGCGAAATAGTGAAACAACTATAATATAATAATGAGTCTGAGGCTGTCCACACAATCAGACAGGTCTTCCCATTTCATGGATTTAATTCAGCCTAATCTCCATATTAGCAAATGGAAGGTTCAGAAGGTCTGAAACAGCAAAAAAAACAATATTCCTGAGCTGTTTAAATGTCTAATGAAAATGAATCTTGCACTAATATTACCGTTTACAGCGACTGTGTGAACACAGCCTCCCTCTTCATTCAACCACCTTCTTAAAAAGGTTTGTGTAGCTTCATCCCGTCTGCCCTCGGTCAGACACTGACACGCAGACCTGCATTGTGCTTCAGTGACACACCAGTGGCGGACTCACCCTTGGTTCACACTGCCTACCTGTACAGACGGCTGCTGCACTGAACTGCTGCATCTGGCACGCATGCGGTGTATACACCAACAGCATGTCAGCTACATGGCTGCTGCTGCCAGCCCTATCTGCCTGATACATAAAATACAATAAAGTCTGTTAAAATAAGAATGGATTCTGTTCACAGAAACACCAGAGAGCTTTTAATCTCAAACAGATACAGGAGGTGTTGAGTTTAACAAATACATTTATATTTTTTCCAT